CTTTCTTTTACTAATTCCAATTCCATGTTCATCTGTACATGAACCACCTGATGCTAATGTACGCCTAAAATAGATCGTTTAACTATAAGTTTATTTTCCAGTGATACTGATTCAAAATAATGCCGTAATATCCGTATTCGCCTAAGTTAGTTTTCAGTTTCTTCTATTACTAAGAAAAAACAGATATGGAACAAAACTGAATTCATCAAACGCATCAAAGCTTCAAACGTCACACATACCTCAATAAATGTCGTAAAAAATTTATTACGAGTTAAAGTAATTATCTTCGTAAGTCTTTTCAAAGTAAATTATGAAATATACAAAATATAATAAATTGTTTAAAATAATACTTGACAATACGATCTGATAGTTCCCGAATCATTTTCATCTCGTCCTGATTTGAATCATCGACTAGGAAGATGCAATGGAAGCTGCCATCACCAACGTGACCCACTAGTGCTCCTGAAACATAGAACCAGAAGACAGTTAGAAAATGAAATTAAATAAATGCCCTTGATACGAAATCTCAAAGGAAAAAGCTGAGAATTGAATTTATTCGAACGGAACTTTATGATAAAAGACAGTCGAGAACGCCAAAATCATCCAAACCTCAAAATTCTCTATGTCTTTGTACTCCAACAATCCTGACTTTCAGACATAAAATGAAATGCAATACCATGAAAAGTTCTACCAACAAACATCATTATTAGGACTGAAAAACAAAAAACAAAAAAAAAAAAAAAAAAAACAAACCAAAAATGCCTGATTCGTCAATATCCTTCCTTGTCTCAGAGACAGCTTTAGCCAATGCAGATGTAGGTAAAGAGAAGTGTATTGTGAAACCCTGAAATAAAATTATTCAAAGAGAAAAAAAAATCTGGTATAATCAGAAAAATTCAACTCAAGAATAATCTCAATAACTTCAAAAACTGATCACTAGTACTAAAATGATTTAAATTGATCTTGCTCATTAATATGGCCTTCCAGACATAAAAAGCAGCTATCCAACTTCATTTAAGTTCAACCTCATTTCAAAACTTTTCTTTTAAGTAGATTTTTTAAATCAAAATTAATACAAACAATGAACAAGCTATAAACAGCAAACAATATGACATTTTGAATGTGAAAAAAGTTTCATAAACGTTTAAAATTAATCTTTTTCATAGTAAATATTCAAACTTGTGGACTATCAAGTTCAAGTGTTTATTAGGAAAAAAATCAAATTAGAAAATGGAATAAAAAGATCTGAGACTTACCTTAACATTGTTTTTCTCTGATAAAATAGCGTAATAGACAGAATGAAGAGAACTCCAAATTTTTTTCTGCTCCTCAGGCGCATGACACCAATTGAACTCTCTTCCATCATTACTGGCGAATATTTCTTCTATCAAACAAAAAACATCATTTTTTTACGTATTTCGTAATTATCAGAAGTCGGCCAATCAAGTCCACTCTTTTTCTAGACTTTTTTCTGCTTCTTTTTTTTTATGTACTCTTCTGTAAGTGTAATTTTTCTACTTAAAAGTTTATGCATCATTGCTGAATGATCTACTTTAGTAGTATAAATAAATGTCAACTATACCAATCATAAACTGTGAGCTAGTTCTGATCATATAAAAGAAGAGACGCATAGCTGTGGAAAAATGAAACATCGGTTCAAGGAATTACCAACGAGGCTTGCCTGTTCGGCTACTTCCGCTTCGGAATTACCGTGAAATTCCAAGAAAAGAGTGGGTGACTCAACAAGTGTTAGTTTACTGTAGCGATTACAAGCCGCCACTGTAGCAGCATCCAAGAATTCTGCAAGATTTCGTAGAATTGTAGTAAAATCGAAAAGACAAAAGTAGTGGAAAATTTTTGAAAGATCAAAGCTATCACTGGTGATAATATTGTTTTAGTTTCTTCTACGAAAGCGAGTTCTTGCCTGAATCCGAAGTAACTCCACAGTATCACTCTTTCCAAGGACAAAAATTTGAACCAAACTAGTGTACAAATAGTGGTTATAAAATATTAATATGACGAAATACGCAAATTATTAAGATACCTATCTTTGCAATTGGTACAGAACACTGCAAAGTAGCAACGACCGCTTCAATAGCTTTGTCTACTGTTCGAAATGGGCAAACTGCGACACTACATACTGCTGGCCTTGCATACAATCGTACTGCAGTCTGTGTTATTACTCCCAGTGTACCTTTAGAACCCACGAAAAGTTTCGTTAAGTTATAACCTGCTGCTGATTTCCTGATGATTATTTCTTGTAAGTCTTTTTAAAATCAGATCATTAATACTAAGAAGTAATAGGAGGATAACGGTCTACGACTTCTTAGTAAAGCAATACAGTTAAACTAACACATCCTTTCTTCAAAACAAATAGACTTACCTTGGTCGCCTATCTTTTCCAGCAGTGTACATTACATCGCCATTAGATAGAACGACCTATAATAACACTGAGTGATTATACTATTTAAAAAAAAAATCTCATTAAGTTGATAAACTATAAAATTAACCGAAAAAAGGAAAGACACCTCTAAGTTCAAAACATTTTGAGCCATAGTACCATATCGTGCTGAATTTGAACCACTTGCGTTCGTAGCAGCCATACCACATATGGACGCATCAGCACCCAAATCTGTAAGTCTAACGCTCATTTCAAACCATGTTCAAAAAAAGTTAACATTAACTTCCTTTTAAATCCAGTAGCTTGATAGTTTAGTATAACCATACCTCCAGGAAACCAAAGGCCTGTAGTGTGTAAATGTTGGTTCAGTGTCTCATGGGTTACGCCCGGTTCAACAGTACAATTGAAATCACCCATGTTTACTTCCACGATCTTATCCATCGACATCAAATCGATGAATACACCACCCTGAAAAACTATCCTATAACTTTCAGTCTAAAAGGAGAAACATTTAAACAACTCTTAGGTTTACAGTTAATCTGAAACAGTAATTTTTACTAAATAAAATAAATATTGCAAGAAAATATTCGTGAAATAATAAACCTGGAGCGTGTTCGAAAAACCATCTAAACCAGTGGTTGTACTAAACGGTATCACTGGAATACTATCCTCATTACACATCTTCAATACAGAACTAACTTGTCCAACATCTTTAGGCACTACAATCACATCCGGAGCTCTCCCTCTAAAATCTATTTAAGTATATGCTATTATCACACTTAAGAAAATAAAACAAAACACTTTATGAAAATGAATTCTATAGTATTATAAATCGTGTCAAAAAATAAAAAGGAACCTTCCATGTTAAAAAACCGAACTCACAGTAAACTACAGTTTACCATAAACAACAATGAAATGTACAAAACATTTGAATGGAAGCTTAAGTTCAAACCTCAAATAAATATATCCTGAAGTTGTGAGATGTAAAGGAACGGAAAAGGAAAAGCAATAAATTAACAATTTTTTGAAAACATACATGCGACGTCTCCGATCATATGAATTTTCGCTCGGTTCTCCAGTAGCTACTTTAACAGCTTCCTTACCCAAAACACGTTCCAGTTGTGCAATGAAGGGTTGACTCACCTGGGATAACAATTTCAGAATATTTTAATTATAAGCACTCAAAGTGAAGTATTGAACTTTAGACTACAGCTCACTTAGTTCCAAATATTAAAACTTTAAGTATTTTCGAATTTCTATACTTAAATTTTGGCAATGGAGAAATAAAAAATCTAAGCTAGTTTACCTCTCAATTCGTTTCTTATTTCTAATTTTGTTAGAACGAAAAAAAAAAAAAAAAAAAAACAAAGTCACCTTGAATAATGGAAAAATATTTTTTTTGTTTACGAAAGATGATAAAAAATGATTTTTGTAATAAAATATTCAGGATGAAAAATTACCATGCTGAATAAACGGCGACTAAGTAGCATGTTTGCAGTATTATAAACTGAGATTCTAATCAATCCGATTTAAGGAACTATTCCTGATATGCTAAGTCATGCATTATTCAAGTGCGCACGCTGCAATCAGCGTTATCAAGACTTGCATCAGACTTATTACAAAACTCATAGATGCAACAAAAGGTCCCAAAAGTGGGCTTATTCCATTTGCAAGATAGTAGCAACTAAACACACATTAAACAACTATATTGTTTATACTATATTTATCCATTAAACCTCAAATTTAGACATCTCAAATCATTCTAAGAAAACTAGCGGTCTACTTCAAATTTTTGTAATTCTTCCAATCTTCAAATATCGAAATATTAAATATATCATTAAAAATGAAATGAATATTTGAAATCAAATATTTCAAAGAAGAAAAAAGAATTTTTCTTTTGGCAGCAATCAACTTAAGAGATTTCTCTTTAACATGATTTATACAGTTCCTTTCTTTAGCAATATGGTAATAAAAGTAAACGAAGGAAATTGTTCCTTCAATAAAATAAAATAATATTATTTCATCTGGCATAGAATTTGGGGATTTTGTGTAATCATTTATTATACATCTCAAAATCGAACATAAGTTATAGAAAAATATTCAAATATACGGTAAAACAGAATGAGATTAAACCGAAAGATTACCACATGGATCTCTTTACAGTTACCTTTTTTCTTGTAAACTGAAACGCAATTAAACAGAACTGAGATGCAGTTACTTGGAAGACTGAACACTCTTTAGAGCATCAGTAGCTGCTACTATAAAATCCTTCTAGATACCATTAATTTAGCCCTACAACAAGAAACCACGCGTTCAGAATTTCAATAAATGACTGGGAAGAAGGCGCAGATGTTAAAAATAAAATAGAAAGAAAAAAAAGTACCTAATTTGTTAACAAATTAGGTAGTTTTCTTTTGAAACAATTCTTTTCTCTAATTGTCAACCTTTATTTCAATGTTCAGTTTCTTTCAGAAAAATTAGTTTCCAGTAGTGTCTCTAAGATATGCAGATGAAACAACAGCGTATTTGAAATTCAAAACAAAGGACTAAAAATAATCAATTTCTTCCCTAAAGAAAAGATAATAACAACAAACAGAGGTCACCAAATAACAGGAGCTAGAATCCGCAGTATTCCTTCATCTAACAATAGTTTTGCTTCTACTCTTTTATAGTCTACTTTTACCGGAAAATAAATATCCAAGATTGTTTGTTTCCGATCAAGTATGATTAACAAATGATCGTCATTCATCCGAACATTCAACCTAGAAAGCACTATACATAAATTGAAATTGCTGGAATTCTATGCTGGAATTTCACATTCTACACTGTACTGGAATTCGTACTTAAACTCCTGATTTAAATATTACTTATTTTGATCTTATAACTTTTGCAGAGCATTCTCTTATGTAATAATAAAATTTACAACAACCTGTCAGTATTTTTTATCGATGGTAGCACACTAGCAAGCTTCAAGTTCACCTCCAGTTGTCTGCCGTCTCGAAGAATAAGTAGGCAATTCTTTGGAAGACAATATTGCTGCAACTGATTCACAAATCAAATTCTACAAAATATACACCATAAAGATTAAGTTTAGAACTTTTCATGCAGCAATCATGTTTTTTTTAATATACATGCAGGCGTTGAGTACCCGGAAATATAAAAAGTAATGAAGAGCAATAGAAAAGTTTGGTACCTCATGGATCGGCCCTTCTGATTGCTTTACTGATTCTACTTCTCTTATAAACGCTTCTCGCGGTTTTTTTCGTATTCTCTGAGCACTCAAATCACCCACACACTTTCGATTTTTTAATTTAATCGCTCCCTGAATATAAAGAGTCTAACGAACTAGGAGAGACACTGCACCAGTGAGACAAGCAATCAAAAATGAAAGATTGAGAAAATTCTCAATAAATTTGTGATGCAACCTCGGTAGCAAATTTGGGATGCTGATATAATATTAATATTTAGCAAGAGGAATAATGCGTCAATATGGATAAAACTTAAAAAATAATTTCTGAAAAACACACCTTTACATCGATCGTAATATCATGCTTCTTCTCAACTGCTTCTGAAACAACCAGTAGCAATAACTGTCGAAAAAATTCACTTTTTTCGAGCTGCACCAAATAAAAAGTAGAGTTGACGATTACATCTATCTAAAACATGGACAACGTTGAAAATGAAATCATAAATAAGAATGAAAGAATCTTTATTATCCCTAATCATATGAACGAATAAAAGAAAGAGATCAACTGTAAATGAAAGAAATAAGCCATGAAACCCACTTATAATGAAACAAGTCATAAGTACGGACCTAAGATATACATATGATACCTGCTTCCAACTATCAAATGAACATCACCTTTACAGAATCTTCTCCTTTTCTGTCTAAAACCACTTCAACATCACCAACACATAATGGTATGCGATACTTTGACGGATCACTTGAATCCAACAATTTTGCAACTTCGTCCTGCAATTTTTTAGAAAAAAGAGAATTAAAAAATTCGCTTCATCAACGAAAAAAAAAAAGTTCAATGGGAATCGCTATTGATATCCGCTTTGTCTATAGCTGATTCAGAAAATTTTATTTTCTTACAGTTTTCAGCCACTTATCAAAAAGAAAATCAAGTCGATACAAAATCTGACTGTATCTACAAGTCTTAGTCTTTTGTATAACGAATTATCAAATGCCATTTGAATCACACATTACAGACTTACAATTCATCTGGTAGCAAAAAAAAAAAAAAAACACCTCACTGAGATCTTCTGGAGGAGGTAACTGCGTGCAATGACAGATATTTAAAAAAAGTTTGCATTTCTCTTTCATAAACAGTGTGCGACAATTGGAATTTACCTTCAAAAAAAAAAAAAAAAAAAAAAGACGATAAATGCTTTTTGGAGTTATAATGCTTTAATGTAATAAGCTTCATTCAGCATTAAAAGTGATGCTAAAATAAATTTCAGTGTAATCACAGATTATATATATACGTTATAACTAAATTTTAAGCATATGACTTCGTACACACTAACAACCCAATACACTTTAGTAGTACATCTCAACCAACATAAACCAAACAAGTAAAATAAAACCGTACTTCCTTAAATTTAACGACATAACCAGGTATGGGATGCACAATCCACACATCATCCTCACTGATATTTGCAATAGTATCACTCAGTTCATTTCCAACAATCATCACTTTCTCTCTACGACTTTCTGGAGTCGAAAATTCGCTCGATGAATCTGCAATAACAGAAAAAAAAAAAAAAAAAAAGTGATGAAACTTTGGAATATCAGACACTACGGTGGTTCTCATCAGCAGACACCGAAGCAACGCTTCAACATATAATCAGCGTTCCCAAGCTTTACCCAATATAAGCAGTGATAGATTAATCGATGCAACAGACTGACACACATATTCGAAACTCTTAAACTTAAATAATCGCTGTAGTTTAAATCTGTAAATCAGGGAACTCTAGAACTTGTCGCGCTGGCAACAACAACGATATAGCAAACCATCTTCATCACACTTCGTAAATCAAACAATCTAACCCTCAACTACAATTTGCTAAAACAACTTATGAATGCTTAGTTATGCAGCAAAAAAGAGGAAATAAAAATGTACTTTGACTTCTTCAAATATGAATGAATATAGCACAATATTTTTAAATGCGAAGCATAAAAATGAGCAATCTTTAATTTACAATATAAAAAAATTCAAAGTTGCACAATAGCAATTTTGTCATTAATAAAATAAAAACAGGCTGATTACATCTTAAAATATAAAACAACCGGTAAGTTCCTCTTTCATTGGTTATATAAACTGACGTATATTACTGTACAGCAATGGAAGGTAGCCAATGACCAAACAAAATAAAAAGTGCTCTTGCATATACTAATGAAAGACATCTCTCCCTGTTATTCATTTATTTTTCTCTAGAATGGAAGTAAGACTGGACTCTAAGATCAACAAGTAGAACTAAAACAATATAATAAATGTCGGAAGAATGCAGCTAATTTGTAACTTCAACTAATGACCGAGCTGTTAGACTAATAAAGACAACAGAAGATATGACTTAAAAGATAGCAAGAAGAGCAAAAACACAATACAACAAGGCACACGGATATGCAACAAGCAATCGCTGTCCATCCAAAGATAATGTCGTTATAAACAGTTTAGATGAAGCAACACTGCACCATATTACAGCTGCGCTTGCTATCAAGTAGCCTAGCATACCCTACAAACAAGAAATGGATTACAGATAATATTAAATGTAGTCACTAGAGCTTTGCCAACTTTTTATTTCTTTTAAATCATGCATTTATGTGATATCAAAATTAATTGATACCTGAAAAGAGAAAACTGCAGCTATCATGCTTAAAATAGCCATCGGCAGTAAACAATATCCAAGGACGCTGGCCGTACAGGTGAACGAAATCGAAGTATCAGTAGCCATTAAATTCAATAAAGCGTATACACCAACACATCCCAGAGCACCGATTCCATAAATATATCCAAATTGAATCTAGAACGGCCAAATCAAGTAAAGCGCTCAAATCTCTTATCTTTACTGACTAAAGAGTTTACTTCTTTTTAGTGATGGTTCTACTGTTGCGCTCGACTCAGCTGTGAATAAAATTAATGGGATATATATAACGAAGATATAGCAAAATATAGTAATCTTAATATTTCAAACTATCCTTTTCACTCCAGGAAGGTCAACTCTGACAAAGTACATGGATACGTTTTATGAAGCTTAACTGAACTTGTTATATTTAAGTTATCAGAATAAATTTTTTTTCTTTTTTGAAATTAGTAAGTATACCTTTCCATGAAGCAACAAAGCAGCACCAAATAAAAGACAAAATACTAGCGGACCTGCCAAGTCTTGATCAGCAATTACCTGAAAAATGCAACATCTCGTCTTTATAGTTTAAATGAAATGAGTAAAATTACACATTTGACATCATACTCTCAGCAAAGCTAGGTATACCGTTTTAGTGCGTTTCCTTATTGCAAAATCATTATAAGAGATATCTAGAATATATTGTCTGAGATTGCTGACAATTAGTTTAGCAGAGTACAGCTTACATCAGGTGCCACAGAGCCAACAGGATTCAACACAGCAAATGTTTTCTGTCTGATATGGCTAAAATTGATGCCAAGCTCCTCTAATAGTGGTGGTTCGATCTCGAAATTATCAGCGGGCGGAGCTGAAGCAAAAAGCAAACGAGAAAATTATTTATAAAACAAGAAAGGGCTAGTTTTGATTAATAAAATGATAGAATTCAACATAACAGTTTTCAGCTCGTTACAAACCAAAATGATGAAAAAGGAAATACCTTGTAACTGAGAAGGGATGAAGTATTGACCGCTATATAAATTGGTATTCTGTGTCTGCTGCTGCTGATAATGATCATAATAGACTGAACCTGTATAAGAATTTAATTTTTTCCGAAACAATACATTATGCAAAGATGGAAATTCTGGAATCGATCTAAGTGGAGTGAGCTGTATTTCTTCTCTTCCTAGCTTAACTAATCAAACCCACCATGTGTTTGCTATATCTACAGCTATACAATAATGAAATAATCTTAAATTAAAAAAATAAACACAGCACAAATGCACTGTTATGATAGTTTTACATCTTAAATTCTTATACATTCTTCTGTAACTGAAACTGTCTAATATATAAATAAACTCGCTTATCCAATCTAAGTGGCTTTGCTCATTTATCATAATATCATTAAGCACACAGTAAAGAAAATGCAAAGAAGTCATTTCTTGTCTTCAGTCGTCATAATTACTTCTTTCAAAAGTGGTTGTAAAAATGCTGCAGTATTTAACATACATATACATATATTTCGGGCTCTTGTTGCCCTGTGCAAGTAGTATTTTTAATGCTTTCATTTTTGTTATAAAATCATTGCTGACACAAAGCTTTAGCGCAAGTTGATTATATTTTCCTCTTTCTGTCTATTCAGTCGTCCTTGAAATAATGGTGGAATAATTTAGTTGTTATCATCCGAAGAAAAACATTGTTGGTACTGAATTGCGATACATTCATAAATGACATAAAAATCTTACCTTGTGGGACCGATGACTGCTGCTGGCTATTATCATACTGTCCCCAACTGGCACCTCCTTCACTACTGTACCAGTTATTCTGTTGATTATTAGTATTGATCCAGTAATGAGACATCACATCACTTCTCCAATTTGCAAAAATTCAATTTTCAGTTTTTGTGAATGCTTGATCAATACTTCTAACAGAGTAAGGTAACATACATGCCTTACATATAAAATGTCATTTTGAAAAGTAAGCAGGAAGAACTGATACAAATACGCTAACTTAATTCAACTCCGTCCGTGTGCTACGTCATGAAATCAGACATGCGACAAGCATTATACATTATATACACTCACACAATATTAGAAAACAACAAATCACGATAAGGAATTGAAATTGTTGGTTCTCTTTAGAACTAACTACTGTCACGATTTGTTGCATACAACGATACATGCAATACACGTTTTTTTGACGGAAGCATGAGGATATGGTACCGTGCGTAAGGGTGCTGGGAGGAGACGTGGAAGCACACGTTTTAGAGGCTTCAGTAGTTTGAGACAAAGTACGTGAAGTAAGGAATAAGGAGAGCGGGAAGGAGCGATGTTGTAGGTAAGTGGATGTACATATTTTGGCACTACAAAATACCCATGATCAGATTTTGTATTAGATAGTATTTCCTCTTTTATGCTCTGAAAATTGACAACATCGTCACGTACGTGAATATCCTTAATGCTATAGCGTATAGAGGAAACGTCTTTAGTAACTTGCAATGCAATTTTATGTATCCAGTCTACGTTGTCAGTTCTTTGGAGTAATTAATGCTCTATTTCGTCATTTGATAACTTAATTTTTACAAGCTGTACGATTTTAAGCATTTCTTCCTCAGTGATTGTTACTTTTCTTTTGTTTACAAATTTTATTAGCGAAGTAATGACATTTTCTGCTGACCTAGCTGACATCTTTACCTCCTTCTTGAATGAAATGAGTCAAAGTATTTGCAACTGAAACAATTTCTATTTTATCAGTTTTTTCAAGTTTGTGAAATGTGGTATCTGTAATTACTAATTTATCTAGAGGAGAGGAAGAAATTATTTTATTTTCATTCCCTGAAAGCACGTCATGTGTTATACATGAAATTACAGACGTTGCTCTACCATTTTTAAAAGTGAGAGCTGCATTTCAACCACAAACTTATCACCGATAGTATCCTTGCAGAGAACATCAATCTGCTTTGTTTCTCACAAGCAAATTCGAGATTCATAATGATGCTGATGAAAGCGCATCGTGTTTTTATGAGTTGGAGAAAGGAAAGGGTAGTAAGTAAGCTAATCTTACATTGTGACGGAGTATAGAAGATTAGAGGGTTCAGTACACGAAGCACACAGAACCGTATGCTGTGCATGTCGTTATACAGTACATGTATATATTTACTACCACATGTTTATCTTCTGTTAGAAAAACGAATCTATGGAACAATTTTAATCTAATAAAATATACATTGTAAAGAGAAGAGCTAATATTTTCAGGACGTACGGTTGCGTTTAAATTAAACGTAACTCATTAGGGTGATATTCTTTGTGCTCATATTCAGTTCATATTCATTTTACATTTCTGCTTATCCTTGCTTTTTGAGGACAATGAGCAAACATCAACGTCGAAAAGGAAATGCTCAGGTAAAGTCACTGTTTCAGTTACAATTATCATGATTAAAGGTTACAGTAGAAAGGGAAAAAAGATATTAACCAGTTTCAGCTGTACTGTATAGCAAATAATTGGCTTACTGGAATTATTTGAAAATTCATGAATTTTTACAGGCAGCAAGCAGTGCCCATGCTGCAGAATTATTGACCAGTTCTGGACATCCACTACAAATTGTAACATTTGGTGATTGTGAGCCATTTACAACAACTTCGTTAGAGAATCGTGATGCAGACGAGAATTTCTTTGATGCTGAAATTCAGATCGCTTTGAGAAAAACCACGAAAAGAGATTTACATACTCGGGAAAAAGTACATACCATTTTTCGACTTAAATATGTGCTTTTGACTGTACAATTTTTTTCAAAACATTGTAAATTTGAAATCTTTATAACAATTTTTAATTCAGATTGAATGTGGTTTTTAAGATATGAATATAACCGTAAGTAGATTTGGCATCATTTTTACTATAATATTACTTACGTTTATTACTCCATCAACAATGCAATCATTTTTTTCAGGGACTGAAAGAATTGAGACGACTGATTGATGAAGTAGCATTCGATGATGTCCGGAAAAGTTTCAAACATTTTGCTGTCTTATTTCCTAGACTAGCTTTTGATACAACGGTAACAGTTAGATCTAATGTAATCCGTGTCTTGGGGGATTATATCAAAAAACTGAAAAAAAACTGTGAACCATATCTAGAAAAGGTTAGAATTTTTCGTAGTGATGTTATGATAATAATGTTATATTCCAATATTCGATCATGTAATGCTTCAAATCTGTAGAACTTTGCAAATTATCATATCACTAATCTAGACTTTCCGAAAATAATAAAATTAGATAGTAATACTCATCTATTTTTATTATTTATAATGAGTAACAAAATTAGTTTAGAAGATTAAATAAAATCTCTCCATAATATGTAATCGTTTGATCGAAAATTAAAGATAGTGGAAATAAGTGTACTAATTTGACAAAAGACAAACTAAAAAGTAAAGAAAATAACATTTAAAAAAATCATCAAAATATCAATATAATGAAAACCACGAAACAAAGAAAAGAAAACAAACGAAAAATCCCGCCAAAGAATAATTAAATCTCAAAAAAAAAACTAGAGAAAAAATAACAGTCTATAAATTAATTGTCAACAAACTCAAATTCAGTGATTTTAGCTTTAAATTGACCTAAATCTGAATAAAAATGAAGAACTTTCACAGCTTTTGTGGAGATATCCACTTAGCATTCCAAAAGCTTTCACGGAAAAATTTCTTATTGAAACAAAAATGCAAATTTGCAGGTTGTATCTTATGTAATATTAATGATGCACGATAATTATTCCCAAGTAGCCAACGAATCAAAAAGCATGCTAGTGGACTGTTTTCCTAATGAGAAATATGGTATTCTTATAGAAATGTTCAAGGAACCAGCGTGTGTAATTGCTCTTAAGTTTATCAGTGGCAAACATTCGTTATTGCTCAGGTGCCATTTGTTATTATACTGATTTCCTGTTCTGTTTTTTTCTGTTTAATTAAGAATAATCTGAGCAAAGGACGATAAAGTCACAAATGAAATTGTTTTGGTGTATTTTGTTTAAGAAAAAAAGTTCGAAAAATTGTCCCCAGAGTTTTCTATTTTTTGTAATTAGACTTCTCAAGATTTACTTATTGAAGATGTGAGGAAGAGGAGACTGAAGAACAGCGTTACGTGAGGCTTGCTTCACAAAGCTTGCAATATCTTCATTGGTTTTGTACGCAGTCTCTTAGCGATGAACAGCGTAATCGAATAATTGATTTTTTCAATAACCGATCATACAGACGACTGTTAACATCATCTTCTCAGGTGATTTCATATTTAAAATAACTTAGCATTATTTTGTTTTTCTTTGTATGTCATTCTATCGCCAACTTATGTTTTATCGAAATTACTTTGGATACAGTTACTTATAATTCATTCTTATTTTACTTATCTTAATTTCGCTTCTATTCCTGTCCATTTTCTATTATTATTATTATTATTATTATTATTATTATTATTATTATTATTATTATTATTATTATTATTATTATTATTATTATTATTATTATTATTATTATTATTATTATTATTATTATTATTATTATTATTATTATTATTATTATTATTATTATTATTATTATTATTATTATTATTATTATTATTATTATTATTATTATTATTATTATTATTATTATTATTATTATTATTATTATTATTATTATTATTATTATTATTATTATTATTATTATTATTATTATTATTATTATTATTATTATTATTATTATTATTATTATTATTATTATTATTATTATTATTATTATTATTATTATTATTATTATTATTATTATTATTATTATTATTATTATTATTATTATTATTATTATTATTATTATTATTATTATTATTATTATTATTATTATTATTATTATTATTATTATTATTATTATTATTATTATTATTATTATTATTATTATTATTATTATTATTATTATTATTATTATTATTATTATTATTATTATTATTATTATTATTATTATTATTATTATTATTATTATTATTATTATTATTATTATTATTATTATTATTATTATTATTATTATTATTATTATTATTATTATTATTATTATTATTATTATTATTATTATTATTATTATTATTATTATTATTATTATTATTATTATTATTATTATTATTATTATTATTATTATTATTATTATTATTATTATTATTATTATTATTATTATTATTATTATTATTATTATTATTATTATTATTATTATTATTATTATTATTATTATTATTATTATCATTATTATTATTATCATTATTATTATTATCATTATTATTATTATTATCATTATTATCATTATTATCATTATTATCATTATTATCATTATTATTATTATTATTATTATTATTATTATTATTATTATTATTATTATTATTATTATTATTATTATTATTATTATTATTATTATTATTATTATTATTATTATTATTATTATTATTATTATTATTATTATTATTATTATTATTATTATTATTATTATTATTATTATTATTATTATTATTATTATTATTATTATTATTATTATTATTATTATTATTATTATTATTATTATTATTATTATTATTATTATTATTATTATTATTATTATTATTATTATTATTATTATTATTATTATTATTATTATTATTATTATTATTATTATTATTATTATTATTATTATTATTATTATTATTATTATTATTATTATTATTATTATTATTATTATTATTATTATTATTATTATTCAATATATATATTCGGTATATGATTATTTGAATCTTCTTTAAGAAAGCTGAGGATTATGATAGTTTCTTAAGAGTGTCCTCGTCCATCTTGGAGCTACTGTCATTCTGCCTTTACATTAATGAATGCTTCAGATTGTTAGTGCTACAATGATCTTAGCAAGTCGCGTAGCGTCATTACTTAACGGATGGGAAGCAATATTAAATAGTGCCTTGCCGACTACGGCACTAGCTCACCTGGACAGTATCGACAGGAATGTCGGTCGCGCATCTGCTCTTCTCATTCTTGAAATGACCAAGGCGGACGTGCTCTTTACTGTACTAGATATTGATAACGTAGTGGTAAATCGTGTCATATCATTGATAAGGCGCAAAAAAAAGTAAGCGTTCAATTTGTTATAAAATTTAAATTATTAGCAAAAGATCGACACTGTAATTTGTGACCAGCTATCATAATTTCATTGAGAGCACACTTTGTCATGTTACCATACAAGCTTTTATTAATATGCCTAATTTACAAAATGCCATTTTATAAAGAGAAATTTGTGACTCATTTTTTGTAGAGCTTGAAACAGAAATATAGATGATGTTGTTTCTAATGTCAAAACATTGATAGAGATAAGTTGGCAAACATATAAAATGTAAATAAATGCAGTATGGGAAAAGTAGATAAATAGATGTTATCGTTGTAGCTTTTGGAACCATATTTCAACGATTTTTATACCTGTAATAAAAGCTGTGCTTGATAAGAAGGTGGCGATTGAAGGTCAAGAGCTGCTGAAGAGAACACTAAATGCTTTTTTCGATGGGTAATTGTTTTTTAACCTATTCAATGCGATTTGATTATTGTAAATTCTATTCAACTGCGATAAATTAGTTTAGTGCTAGTTCATGATGCATGTTTTTTTTGTAATTGGGTATTGGAGGGAAAATATATTAAGCGGGGTTAGAATTCAGCTATGTTAGAACTGTTAATGTATGATCTTGTGAAACAAAGTATTTAATGATTCGTGCTTTTAGGATGCCTTGGAAATTATCGTTTCCATGTGTTGCTTGGGTAAATACTTTTGCAGAATTCACTGAATTTGGGATTTGGTGGACTATGAATCGGTGTGCTAATGATTTGGATATTATTGTGGATGAATTTATTGAAAAGGTTTTTTTTTTTGTTGTTCACTTTGCTTCATTTTATTGTAATGGTTGTTATATCCTATAAAAATTTAGGTGTGGATTGCGATGAAGTGCACTTTGAACTGGAATGACAAGTCATTAGTCAAGAAAATGGTGCATTTGCCAGGACGTATTATCAGTAAATGGTTCCGAAATTCGCAGATTGCAGATCGACTACGTAATCAAATTCAGGATCATCTTTTGAATGAGGTATTCTTTTGTATTGAAACATGTATATTTTGTGAATGTTGTGTTGAAAGAAAAAAATTTTTTTTTTAAAAAAACTGATAATTGCTCAGTAATTATTTTTCTCTGCAGTTATTTTATTTTTTCAGCTTTCATCTACGGAACCATTAATCGAGGAGTTATTTTATGACAAAGTAGAACCTGTTTGGTCACATTTCATAACGCAGTTGCTCACACATGTACATGCTAGCCAGAAATTGATTTATAGTGTGATGGAAAAGTGTGATGATGACATACTGAATAAGATCGCTTCTGAGATTGATCTCTGTCAAGCTATTTCGAGCAAAATTAACTGGAAAGATGCTGAAGATGCAGCACTTCTCATGCTGAAGTTACTGATAAAATTCAGCGCGAAATTTGACAAGCCCATTACAGAATTCTATAAGGTATGGTATTTGAAAATGTTTTATTGAAAATGTAATGAGAGTTCTAAGCGCTTTCTTCATAGTTATTGTCCGTATATCTTCCTTTCAATGCTAACGAATTACGTTTGGATAGAGAAATAATTTTTTTCTTTTTTTGGAGAAATCTTTTGTTGCAAGCTGTAGAATCGATTTAATTTCTTTAATTGTTTCTTTAATAAGGAATTCGGGAAGAATTGGTTTTGCCGGACATCCTTGCAGAACCTTTATTTCTCTGTTCTCGGGATTCCTTTTTCAAGAGAACTAGTTTTGCAGTGTTCAATACTTCGGAATTATCAACTCATTTGAGAAACGAGTTAAAAATCGAAATTTTGAAACCGGATCTGATTAAGAAATAGTGGAGTTCCATCTGAATCAAGTTAAAAAATATTGGAGTTCAGTTTCAAAGTTACCATTGTGAGTTGGAGTGCATATATTATAAGGAAATTGTGTTTTTGATTAAAAAAGCTTCTAAGGGTTACTAAGATATACTTTCGTTGCAGACTAATGACGAATTGACATCCATTCGATTTCTAATTGCTTTTGGGTTACTAGACAAGGACAGATGTTTCGCAGCACATTTTCTTACTGATGATCTATTGCTTGTAAGAGCTATGCGATTTTGTGTTCGTCAGTCTGATTTGAAACGTTGGGACATTCTTATGGATATCGCTACGTCGTTTCCTGATTTTGATACAGCTTTGCAGCAAGTAAGTTTGTAACTTATTTAATACCTTTTAAAATAAATAATTATATTCATCTATATGTTACATCTACAAGCAATATGTTAGTTTATGTATTAATCCTAATATCAGCGAAATTTTTAGTTATACATTGCTATTAGAACAAATGGTACCATAGTTTTCTAATGATTAGATTTCTAAGGATGGGAAAACAAGTAAGTGCAACAAGACTAGGAGAAGTTCATAGCAAAACCGATGAAAAAATTAGAAACTCTGAATATATGCATCTGCCTTTAACAGATGTAGATATATAGTTTGTGAATTAATGTAAATTTTGGATGTTGAGGTCTTGGTAGAGAATTGTTATCAGATTGATCAACAATTGCTTATAACAGTGTTAAATAAACGAGGTCGAGAGGTATTAAAATTTGTTTCATATTCTTTTTTTTTTTTTTTTTTTTTGATGGATTTTAAAGTTCTGTGTTTGAGAATAATTGTTATATATTTACTATTATGAGTTCGCGAGAAAAACTGTTATACTGTAGATTTCTGAACATTTGCGGAGCAAAATTGTTGACCTTATTGTTGGACAATTTTTCGAATTGCAAGAGCCATCTGCAGGTTGTGATTCAGTTTGATTATTTGAGCAGGATATAACAGAGTGCGACTTTATTATATTTTCCTCACTAAAGCGTTGAACAAGTTAGTGTTAGTATAGTAGAAGATAATAAAAATTTCTATTAACATACTGAGTTGAACATTTCATGAGCATTTTCATTCTATTTCTTAATTATTCAACTATTGATTCTTAGTTGAGCAGTCACGAACATTTTAATTCAAAGAATTTGCGCATTTCCTTATGTTTAAGTATGATTTCAGAAGTCATAAACGAAACAGTTAAAGTGATGGTTTCATCCAGTATGGATATGAAATCAGTAGCACAAACTATTAGCAATAAAATTAAATCAACCGACTTACTTCAGTCTGAGTATGTTGTAAGCTTTGAATGAAACTGTCGGATATCCGATGGAAATTTCATTTTTATTGCATTGAATATTAAGTCAATCTTCCCTGCAAAAACAGATCTGAGAATTCTTTGTTATGAATTTAAACTGGAGCATAAAATATATTGCATTTCGGAATTAAAACATTTTTTTATTATTCTCAAATTGAGATATATTTTTTTATAATATTATATTCCATAGAGCAATGCTTCGAAAACTCTGTCATGTTAGTCCGCTTTGTTTGCATTGTTAAGTAACTTATTTTATTATTTACTTTTTTTTTAGTCGCTCTGACATTGAAATTGCGACAACAATTGCTACTTCATTGCCATCTTCATCTGTAACTTATTTTATTATTAGTACTGCCGATTTGGTTGATAAGTTATCTGTTCTCGATAAAATGGTATCTATTTTTAATAATACCGAGTCTTTAAAATGATAATGCGTAGTATTTAAGGGAAAGCTAAACAAATAGATGATCTTTAAGTTGCATTTTTAAAAAGTTCGAACTATTTGGGCACTATTTTTTGAATTACACAGAATTCTTCTGAGACGCTGCATATTAATTGTAATATTAATAAAAACATAGAAAAGACTCTGGGATACTAAAAACTAACTTGTCATTAAACAAATTTTTTCTAGCATTAAAACCCAAGCGTTTTTATCTTTGTAGTATGGCTTAGAAATAATGGATGCCCAGGAATGTCTTGCTTCACCAATAATTAAATCGTTGTTTAATGAAAATATGGACGATAATTTCACATTGTTACCTCATCTTGGTTATGCTGTATTTATAACAAGCTATCTCGACATGGTACTTGAAGAAAACATGAGATACTGCACCACAAGCTTCCTTTATGCTATTGCTGTTTCATCATTAGCATCCATAAATACAGTATGCAATGAGAAACTCATTGACACAGGAGCAAACTTAAAAAATTTGATCAACAACTTGGTTTTGGTTTGTTTATTTCTTTATTTTCGTAGTAGCTTTTATTTATTTCTTCTTTATCCAAAATATCACCGTCATGTTTCATTACAAATGACATGTAGAGCATTGTGAAAAAATGTTCCAAGAAATTAGTTAGTACTGATTCTAATTAATTATATTGTTCCAGGTGAATGGGCAGCTTGTGGAGAACATTGTTTCTGAATGTATCTCACTGATTGCCAAAGGAAATGAATCATTATGTCTGTTCATTACACTGCGCTCATTAGCAAATAGCTTATGCGCGGAAAAAGTTGAGGCACTGTTCAAAGTTTCTTCAGAGAACTTGGATCCATATGGAATCACATTTTGTTCCGCAGCTCTTCGCTTACAAGGTTCTTTTTTTATTGTAAAGGTTCACATTCCTATTTATTTAAGTCAGGATCTGCATTTATAGTAACTAAAAAAATCTGATCAGTAACTTGATTTTAGTTTGTTTATCCTTCCTTTTTGTAATGTTTTTTTTATCTATCCAAAATAGAAATCAGAAAGAAATCAGAAGTAAGGCTATACGGACAGAAGAATTGTAGAAGTCTGAAGCTCTCGAAAATTAAAAGGAAAAGCTTTCAGATTGAATATATATCCCATTATTATTTTCAGATACAAGCTTGGTTTTCGACGATTATTGTGAACCCTATATTTCTATGAAATATTGGACAAGCCGTTTTGAGATAACATCATCTTCGGAAAATTCTGTGAATTTGCTCCAACTATTTACTCAGTTCATGGTAGAAGGACGCTCAACACTTGAGGAATATCTATTCACTTATAAGTAGTTATTTGATTCTTTTTATTCTTTCAGCCAACGATTTTTACTGAATAAGGTAAAAAAATATTACATCTAGAAATAATAAATCTCATCTTTTTTATCCCAGATCAGTTGTTTTTGCTTTGTTGAATATGCTAGCTGCACTTTGTTTAGAGTTTAGGAAATCTTGACTTTCAACATGGTATGATATTTAAAAAACGTTGAATGAAATTTAATAGCGTGGAACTATATTCTTTATTCGACCTCATTGATTTAATGAAAACATCATCTAAACAACTGGTCAATTATTGTTTTGATGATGCTACTGTTTTTATACAGGATGGAGGATGATGAAAAACAAAATATATTTAATTGCGCCATTCTTCGTTTCCTAATTCGTTGTTGTCCATATCTACGGCAAATGGATACCTCCATGCGAGATTTCTTATGTTGTGCATTAATTACATCTCTCGAAGTATGCTTGATGATTTGTTTGCAATAAGCTATAAATTGTTCTAGAAATATATTGAGTTTTATCAATGAAATGCACTATTCTTTGTTAATAAGAGCGTATAGGTTGTAGCAGCAAAAATCCTAACATCCCTTGATCAAAATGCAGTAGTATCGTTATCGAAGCAAGTAGTTATGTAAATCTTTTTGTCAAAGCACCCTTACTTATTCTTCTACGTATATATTAGTTTCTGCCATAACTGGCTGATGAACAGAAATGTCAAATAAAAAGTTGTATCAATGCAGCATTAATCCACTGAGAACCATACATTATCTCTGTTGATTTCAGAGTGCTAATCAACTTTGGGGGCAGTGTAAATCAAGATCTTATTTGTTATTTAGCAGCATGTCTGTGAAATTATTCAATGAATTTGCTCAAATGATTGATAACACTAAAGATGATGTCGAATTAGCACCTTTCAGACAGGTTTGCATTATCAACGAAGCAAAAAACTGAATTTCACGATAATTTGTTACATTCAATTTTCATCTGAATTCTTACATAAATTTTTAATTTTAGGATTGGTCAGACTTCTTCTGTCCTACAGCGCAAAATATTTTGCTCATATGGTTCTTTGGGCTGACTTCATATCAAGAAAGTTCTCATTTGATGGCTCTTCAGAACGCTCTTTGTTTATCAATAAGTTACACAACCGAAGAATTTATTCGAACTGTTCCATTACCGTCTGTTTTCGATGTCGAGTTGGATCTCCTGAAGTAAAATTATAGATATATTAGAATGCCTACATTTAATTATAATTCTGTGGTTAGTGTCTAATCTAAGTTTTATTAATTAGCAAAATGTTTGAAGTACAACATTCGTTTTATACGTCAATTACAACTGAGTAATTGAAAGAATTGTTAGATCCATAGCTCGTCAGAGTATTGTAGTACAATATTAGAATGAACAGTTGATGAAAAAGCACTTGGAATTACGAAATGACTCTATTTGTAATTTATTTATCATAGCACTATTGATTTCAAGAAGTTAGAGAAAATGCTCGTAAAATAATTTTTATTGATTGTAATTGTGGAACAATCGTTTCCAGCTATGATGAACATCTGCAGTCAGTCATCATACCCTTGCACACACTCATCAGCTGGCCTTTTCCGGATGTTCAAATTGCTGCACTGAAAATACTGAAGTTGTATGTTAATTTTATATTTTTGTTACAAAAGATGTCAGTTTCCTGATAATTTTGTTTGATTCAATGGTTTCTTTCTATATTTTACTTGTTTCATTTGTTAAATTCTTTATCTGCCTTGCAGAGAAGTCGGTGATATATACAAACTTATGAAATTATCAGCTAGTAGTATCCTCCGTTTTGGTATTGTTGATTTTATTCACAAACCCTTTGTCATTGAAATTTTTTCTTCTTTTCTACAGATTAACAAAGGACATGTTGAAGATACAAAATAAGCAAAACGAAGAAAATAATCTAGGAGATGAGAAGCTTCCTTCCAATTATGAAAAACGCTTGCCAGTGCCATTCACGAGAATTTTGGATGATACAGTGATAGGCAGTTGTATTTTGCCACCGAAATTGCTTATTTGGGATGCTTTTATCAGTTCTTTGAGTCAGTTTGATCTGCTCGAAAGGGTAGCATATTGCAGTGCTATGGGTCCATACATCGATCAGATCATGCCTCATTTGTTTTCTCTTCTTTCGGATTCTCATCTTTGTAAGTTTTTCCAATCGTTTTTTCTTTCTTTTTTTTTTTTTTTTTTAGAAAAATGGAAGATTGTTCTGCTCTTTGAAATTTACACATAATGGAAATTAAAAAGATACGTTCTGCGCTGGTAATTAGAAACAGCAAAGTGATGAATTCTTTTACAGGTGTGAATATCACTGTGGAAGTTACGGATATTGCTAAACGAGGTATACCCATTTTTCAATGTTTTATTCAATACTTTGAAAAAAAAAAAATTTTTTTTTCCGAAACTTTTTTTAAAAAAAGGAAAGAGATAAACAAAAGATATAGCAGGGAAGTTAACGATGGTCAGCATTTAGAAAGTATTGTAACTTACATTTTGTTTAATTGTTAGTTTGAAATAACTTCTAGTTTTGGTAGGAATAAAAATACCATTGAAGGTTGAGCTGAAATGACCCTTTTTAATATATTTCTGGATAAAGTTTTTCAATGTGCTAATATCTTAATTCGGTTTATGAAGTGCGAGGCCATTTGTAATTTTTTTTTTCCAAATCAACATATAAAATATTCAATAGATCAGTTATTGCGCAAAAAATAACCCAAATAGGCGAGTGGAATATATAGATTTTAGATTATTGGAATGAAATAAAATTATTATTGCCACGATATGCTTTTCGGTTATTCTACAGTACTTGCGGGATACTACCGGCAGTAGTACGTCAATGGTATATAAAGCTACCTCGTGCCGCTGCTACTATTTGCAAATCGTTCGTTTTTTTTTTTTTTACATTGTTGTATTCTTTGCTTACCTATACTTTTTAACAAATATAAATTAAATGTGATTCCTTTTTAGATTTGTAACCAAATCAATCAGTCAAATGATCTGGAAAGCAGAGTGTAATCAGTTTACATCTCGTGAAATACCGAATAAATTAAAAGTACTGATAGTTCTCTTTTTTATCACAGAATTTCTAGTATGTTTTTGTTAATTTTTTGTATGCTCGCTGTTGCTTCTATTTACACTTTACAAAGATTAGATGAGATTGAAATTTGAAAATGTTGCCTCCACGAAAAGTTGTACAGAGAACAGACGACGACTTTTGAGACGTAATTTAATGCTACTGCTGTCATTTCTTAGCAGTTAATTAATGCTAGTAGGACTCATCTAGCCTTTGCAGGTTCGATTGTTGCGAGCAGCTCGACAAATTGTGGCAGAATACGATTTGGAAGATTCGACTATGACTCTAACGATAGAATATCCCGTAGATTATCCACTCAGCATCCCCTTGATTGAGGATGAAAGAGCCATCGTAAGTCGGGAAACAAGAAGGAAATGGCTTTTGCAACTTACAATGTTCCTTACTCATCAGGTATTATATTTTCATAATTTATACAATATTGATTTATATTACATGATCCATTCAATTAAGAGATCATTTCATCTTTCGAATTTTAGTGTGTTGGGCTTGAAAACATTTTAACGAACTGATAGTTGTTGCGCTATTGCAGAATGTTGTTAAAGCTTTAATTGATCTGCTTATTTGTTTTTAGATACTTTGTATCTCTTAGAGATGAGCGAAAATCGCAAATAAAATTATCTATTAGAATTGCTATACAGAATTGCATATATCTTCATGTTCTGATAGCTCATAATGCGTCAATTGTTGTTGTTGCAGAATGGTTCCATTGTGGATGCAGTATTAATGTGGGCAGGTAATATCGAGAAGCATATGGAGGGTGCAGAAGATTGCACCATTTGCATGATGACTGTCCATTCAAGGACTTATCAGTTACCACGGGTACGATGCAAACAATGTAAAAAACGATTTCATTCTGATTGTCTTGTAAGTTCTTCGAATATAATTTTCATCTTTTTCTAGTATTCAAGAAGTAGTACGGTACTGATGTTGTGCATTTGTTGAAAATCATTCTTTGTGACATAATGTAAGCGTGTTAAACCTATTAAAACTAAATGAAAGAATATGTATTCATATTAAAAAAGGTGTTCTATCACTTGATAGTGTAGTTTGTAGAAACTTATGTTTTACTGTCATTTAACTTATGATGCTTATTAATTCGATTTCAATTTATTATTTGCAGTACAAATGGTTCGATTCAAGCAATCAGTCAACATGTCCCTTATGCAGAGCTTCATTTCGTTAGCAATGTAAATCGTAAAGACAATATAATTTAATTGATTCGTGAATGCTTATATTTGCGAGAATTTTTTGCTCACTTTCTCTTCATCCCTTTCGATTATGTCTGTTTTTTAAATTGGGAAAAAAATCAAAATATTTGAAATCGAATATATAAATCTTTGTTTAAACCTATTCTTTCCTGGTAAAAATTTATACAGAAATAAAGAAATTAGCAAAATGTTTACTCAGGAAATTAATCACCAGTCATTTTCGTGAGATTCTAGTACATGTGCTCAAAAATGTTATCATTTTTGTGTTCTGTACATTTCAGGTGATTAATTGTTCAGGTCGACTCATCCATGTATTTTTGCTTGTACAGTGTATAAAGCGGATTTATGTAAATGGAAAAAGAAAAAAATTATCCGTCTATCGTATTAGTGCATTTGTTAAAAGTTCTTTGTTTACGACATTATATGTTTGCGATTGGAAGAAGCATGATGGTCGTTCTGCCCCGCGTTTCAATATTCCTGGTTAACTGAAGTAGGAGAGAGGAAGAGCAGAGGTTCGAAAGATTAAAGTGACTGTTACAAGTGTAGGTGGGAAATTTGACTAAAACTGTTTCAATTTGCTAGAATGCTTGATAGCAGGCTAATAAGAATATTAAGTCGAAGTTTGACGTATTCGTTTGTTCATGTAGTGCTGATACTCACTTTAAAGCATTTCAATAGAGATTTATGACAAAACCCTGATACAGGTTCAATGGGGATAGTGGAATTGACACGTCGGGAAACATTCTCGGCCAGTCATCGTTTACAAAACTCGTTGCTGAGTGATATTGAGAATCAACAGTTATATGGTAAATGTAATAATTTGAATGGTCATGGACATAACTACGTTTGGGAGGTAACCCTTCGAGGACAGATTGATCCGAAATCAGGAATGGTGAATAATGTCTGTGATTAATCATTATAAGTTATTTTTGTCATTTATTATGTAACGCAGAGGACGGTAAGGATTAATCAGAATTATTTGTTGGTGCAGTCAAATCATTCGTTTACTTCACTGTAATAGGTCTTCTTATAAAAGGTGAAAGTAATTGATTTTTTCATTCCTTCGATTTATCTTTTTATTTATTGATTTATTTTTTTGAAGAATCAATGGTCAGTTGTTTCTCCCAAATGAAATCTCTTTTGCTTGGCTTATTTTAACATTTCTCTCAAATTGAAGGAATACCATCAATTATCATTATTTTCAAAAAAAAGAAAAAAAAAGCACTTTTAAACTAGTATTACTTATTAATCCCGGAACTTGCAGGTGTACAATTTGACTAATCTGAAGAATGAAATGAAGAGCGTACTGAATGAGGTGGATCATAAAAATTTGGATAAAGATGTCGTCTATTTTGAAAGTAACGTAAGTACCACTGAGAATTTAATCGTTTACTTATGGAATGAGTTGAAATCTAGAATAGCAAATCCTGAATTGCTTTATAAAATGATTTTGCATGAAACTGAAAAGAACTCGGTTGCTTATCATGGATAGTTCATTTTATCTTGCAGTATTTTTTAATATTTACTGTCAGCTTTTTCTATCATAGATCTTTTAAATTTAGATAAGTTTGTAAAATAATACAGATAATATTTGATATTATTTATTTATTATGACATGAATTGTATACATTGAAATGATGCATTCCATCTGTTAAAGCTCTGATATTTCTCGAATGGCATTGTTGTTTGTATTTATGTGTGGGAATTAATGCATTTTAGATTTCATTGATCCTTGTGATATATTCTTTATTCTTAAATTTTTATTTCAGATTAGCGCATTTTTGTCATTCTTTATCAAAAAACAATATATTTTGGCTGAATATTTCACCATAATCATTAAAATAATCTGTAATATAGATTGGTGCAAATTGAGTTGCTAAAATTTATCGAACAAAAGATTACAAGCAGTTTCTTTCAAATTACATTCTTTTCAAGAATTGTAATTTATTTTTGGTAATTATTGATCAAATTTGCTAAATGACAATTGATATCACTTTTATTCCCAAATATAACTTGAAGACCAATATGCAAAAGTAAAAGATCCTTTTGGTTTAAATATTACGATTTCCTCTTGAAATTGGTAACGGTGGCAAACGTTTACTTCTGCAAGAAAGAATATCTGCTAAGTTTCGTTCATGGTCTCTTTGTCCCCTCTCTCTTGGTCGTTTGAAATATCAATTTCTTGTATTATTTGCAACAAAAAAAGGCAAAAAAGGATGAAAGATTATTATTTCTACCGAAATATTTCAAATTTCTATCCATGAATATTATTTGATAGCATTCATTGAGTATAGTAAATAAAGCAAAGACCTTAAAAAAATATTATTATTTCTTGGATATTGGTAATTTCGCCGGAAAAAATGAAGAGAAAACGAACTCTCTGCTCAGTTACCTGAGGGAAGTACTAAAAACCGGAAGTGTCTTATATGATAGAGAGCACTGCAGTGGTAATTGATATTTTGGAGAATTAAAATAAATAGACTTTTGTCCAGTAGAACGCTTATACCATCGTAAATATCGCGGTTTCCTTCCCAGAAGCGCTAGTGATATTTCAAAACATCAAACTATCAGAATTTGACGGCTATCTCCTTATCTACGTATCAGCTTACTTCTATCTCATTTAAGACAAAGAAAAACAAAAGACGTGTTGGATAATTATCCTTGCCTCTATTATGGTAATAAAAATATTTACAAATTTAATAAATGATAAAATGGAATTCTTCAGTTAAGAGAAGCAATAAATCATAAGTCAATTATATAATTTTAACCAATTCTGACAAATTTCTCGATGAATAAACATGCAAAAAGGTAAATTTGCAATTTTTTGTTTTGCTTATCAGCTATTTGTTCATAATTAGTAAATAAGTTAGAGTTTAGACTTAATTCATGAAAATAGGGAAATTTGCGAAATAACGTGCCGATGTGATTTGAAAAACAAAATTAATCATTATAGTTCTTGTCATAATTTAAGAATGGTACCTAAGTTGAAAATGAGTCACACATAAATAAATTGTAAATTATTTAGTCATCCTATGATTAAGCAAACGATCATTGTTCTTTTTTTTAGAGGTTGGCCTATAAACACAAACTGAGCTGTAATATTACAAGTTCAAATGTCTAAAAAGTGCACTTAATCGTCTTATCAAGCAGATAAGAGCTGATTAGAAAAGTGAATCTAACTTTTTAATCATTCACTTGCATCTATGTAATCATTGCATCTAAACATTTTGTCTTTTTTAATGCTGACTGTTCTTCGGTAACTGTATTAGTTAAAGGATGATAATATGAATTGATTAGTTCTCAAATCTAACAATAACTTCAAAACCATTTTTAAAAATTTCAAGATCTTATAATTTCATATGAAACTATTAAATTATTAGTATCAAACTATCTATCACCTTATCATCTATCTTTTACGATAACCCTATATCTTGTACAAATGATCCAAGGTGATAGTTACCGGTTATGCTGGAAATGTTGTATTATTCTAGTCGAATGTTATTACAATTCAACGAGATTCGCTAGTTATCGTATTTTTCACAATTTTATTCATTTGTAATGTCTCTATTGTCTTACTTAGTGAATGAAAACTGCAGTGGTTTTAATAGTTTTATATCATATAACGTTCATAGTTGACGCGGCTGTAAGTCGTGTCACTGTGAAGAGAACTCATTCTATACGGCAACAACTTTTACGGTATTTACAGTTTTTTTTCTTTTTAAATTGGTCGTTAATTTCAAATATTTAAGTACAAGTCGAAAGAAATAAGTTTTATTAATTTTCACACCCTTTTTTATACTTTTTTCATTTCATTTATGTTTGATAAGTAATAGTAAGGAGGAAAACAAACAAAAAAGAAGAATATAATTCTCAGACATTTGATGAAATTCAATACCGAATATTTATAGAGCCGGAAAATTAAAAGAATACAACCGGTTAGTCCAATCAGTACTGAGAGAAACCAGAATGACTGAATTTCTAGAATATATGGATAATATCTATCTAATCAATATCACTATCGGATCACCGCGTACATCCATTTTCTTTTTCATCCTTCCACAACCTATAAAAGTCAATAAATTTATAAATCACTGAAGAAATTATCCTCGAATGTCGAATGCTATATGGTTTGATAGATTATCGTATCACTTTTAAATTTTGTTAAATCTTTTTTAAGTGAAACCATTTTCTAGCACTAATGATTATATTATTTCATTTTTTTGTCTTTAAAACAGCCATCGTTCTCATGAACTTTCCTATTTTCAGCACAAAATTTGAAAGTTGTCCCCGATACAGGAAGTTCAGATTTATGGGTCATTTCTATTGACTGTAAAAGTAATTCATGCATAGAAGGAGGAAATATGCACACAAAAAACCGATTTGATCCAAGGTTTTTACTCTTGTTTAAGAAACAGTTCTTAAAAGTGATAAGTTATTAGTTAAAGTTATAAAATACTGATTGAATTCAATTCATGCACTATCAAAATTAAGTTGAACAGTGCTAAAAAATATTCCAAAATGCAAATTAGTGATGTATTATCGTTGGTTTTTTAATTTATTAGCTTTTATTAAGATATATTTCTTGCAGTAAATCTTCAACATATTCATCTTATGGCCAAAACTTTTCAATAACTTATGCATTAGGCTATTCCAAAGGTATACTTGGGATTGATCAACTTTCAGTGAGTTTTTAATTCATCAATATTTTCACTTTTTAAACAGATTTAGTGGAAAATGGATGCTTTTGCAATATTAGTAAGATATCGAAATAGCTTATTCAATTACATTTCAGATATTTCCATTGCTATTATAATAAACGAAGTAGTAAGCCTATTGATTTGTTATCTTTCTTTAAATGGCAATAATACAGCTACGACTAACTCATTATGTAATAATTAAAATTAGCTTACTTTAATTTTTCCTTACTTTTTCCAATTTCCTTTAACCTAAAAGTAGAGTATTTGTAGTTTGCTGATTTAACAGTTGCTAATCAAATATTCGGTCTAGCAAATCATATTGCCGTTAGTTTCGGTAATTTCTCGATGGATGGTATAATGGGTCTCGCTTGGCCAGCCCTTTCATCATTCCAGGTTACAACGCCGATGCAAAATATAATTAGCGAATTGGATTTTCCAATAATGACAGTTTACCTGTCTCCGTAAGTCTTATAATTGATCGTCACTTAACGGATATATTTTAACAATTTTAATTGTAAGAGATATTAAATTACAAACTATTTATTCTCAAGAAGTAAACATAAATTGATCAACTTTAAGCTATTTTTTAATATGTAATGCATTACAAGAGATACAGAAAAGAAAGATGGAAATAAGATTGCTTACGGAACAATTTTTGATTTCCTGCCAAGAATATGCTTGAGTATAAGGCTTTGTTTACCAGAACATTTCTAAAAACACAATTTATAGATATTTGGAAACATCAATGGATGAAACTGATGGAGGTGTAATCACTTTTGGTAATTTTGACTTTGATAATTGCGAAACAGTAGAGCGATGGGTACAGATAACCTCTCAGACGTTCTGGCAATTTACCATAAAAGGGTAAACAAACTCTTATAATTTTAACGAACATTTTCTTTTCAAAATTGGTTTTCAGCCTGATAAATTCTTTACCAGTTTGCAGATTTTCTATAAGTTTTCATTCTCTCATTTCTCTCAGTCATTATTTTAAAATTCATTTTTTCTAACACCGAAAATGTATTCAAAGTTTGATTTCAATTTATATAACTGTTGTATTAATTTTAAATGAACGATATTAAAGTTATATATCGACATTACTCATTCACTATTTTACCATTTTAAATTGCATATCATTTTCTAACTAATATTTATTCTGTGCACAGTGTAAAAGTTAATTTACACGAGACTACTAGTTGGCAACAAGCAATCTCTGATACTGGAACATCATACCTACAAATACCATCGTTCCTCATGAAATTAATGGTCCAAAACATCAATGCTACATATTCATTCGATTATGAAGCTTATATAGTTAATTGTGTTATGCAAGACATTGGTCCCAATATTGAAATTAATATCGATGGTATATATTACTCAATATTACCTGATCAATACATTCAAAAGGTATTGATAACTGTCATTTTATTCGATCAATCTAAACAATGAAACATTTGCCATGAGAAAAGATTTTCAAAATACTAATAATCGTACCTGTATAAAGGTGACATTTTCTATCTATTCTTATGTTTCTGCAGAAAATTGTATAAGTCATTCGTCATTTGAGCAATGATACGTCTTCTAGAAGTGTGTAATCAAATCATCCAGTTTATTTTACAGTATCTTAATGAACATGGTCAACCAGTATGCATCTTTGCTGCATTAGAGAATTACGGTGTCGGATTCAATCCATCCTGGATTCTTGGTGATGTCTTCATCCGTTCTTATTGCAATGTTTACGATTTCGCAAATGATCGCATCGGTTTCGCTGAAATTTTATAGTGTCGCAATAATGGGAATTTACTTCAGGCACTTTCAGAATTCATTCATATTGTTTCAGTTATTGTTCTCAATGACATTCAAATCAATACATATTTTTACAGAATGAAATACGATCAAAAATAAAAGTCTCATTTTCTTGATTTACATTTGCAATTTCTTTTTCTCCAATTAATAAAAATTATTAGCAACATACTCAATTTGTTCTCTCTCTCTCTCCCTCTCTCAGGATATCTAATAAATTGTATTCCTTTCCTACATTTATAATAGGATTTCTGAGATTACTTGTTTAGATTACACATTCACATTTATGGCATTTCACTACAGCAAACTGCCATAAAATCGCATTAAATAAATGTAAAAATTAATTGCAAAAAAAAAAAAAAAAAAAAACATATTGTATATTTTGAAAAATATTTTTGTTTCATTGTGTCCTTCAAAGTTTTACTACTTACTGTTTATATTTTTACGTATAATTCTACGTATAAATGCATTCAATAATTGGAAGAATGAAATAATAATGGAATAAAAGTTATTTGTCATCGACTGATTGACTTTCCGGAAAGATTTCTCTCATGAATTGCTAAACTTCATGAAATTTTATCTAATTAGTTGTTTTAATTTCGTTCTAATTCATTTCATATTACGGCTAAATTTCCACATTCTTATTCCACTGATTCTCACCCAATTGGTTAAGCTGTTAAAAATAAATGTGATAAGGAACTGCTTGATATGATAGATTTCATTGTTACTTCTGTTTGATACTGTAGTCATTGTGTGATGTTTCGAAATGATGAATACTCTGAGTGGAATAATGTATATCATCTATTGTCTTCTTTTATTCCTATCTTTACCTGTCACTAAGTGAACAGTGCATGGCTCAAGCCTCAAAGGCCTGTCAGTATCTGGCCTCAAAGTATCTGGCCAACTAATCTATGTTCACTTCATTCAATCTTCAAAATAAAAACCCTTTTTGTGTTATCATTAAAGTTCTACTTTATCTCTACTGTCGCCTACAAAAGAATATCGTACTACTGTTCACTGTCGTAATGACATCAAATTTATCTAATTACACGACTAAACTTGTTGGACAGTTTTATTTTCATATCGTTACTGGTTCATCTCGAAATTTCATCTGGTCTTAATGATATTGTGTTTCAGCTTATCGCTTTTTTCAAGCGCTCCTCTTTTTCTAGCCTTGCTTCTTTTCTGATTTATTCCTGACCTTTCCTCTCCTTACCTTTAAAAAGAGTCAATATTTACTGCACAATACAGTTGTAGAAAATACTGCCTAAAACATTTTTCAAATCTAAAGTATTGTAAGAAAGTATTCTCTAGCAGCCATCTCAAAGATACGGGAATTTTTGAAGAAAAAGTTAATAGGTATTCATTTTGAACTCTGTGAATAAGATGAATCATTATCAGTTATATGGGATGCATAAATAATTGCGAGAAACGTGCTTGTTATTCTAGGATATGCCGAAGTATTACTGTGATTACTGTGACACATTCCTGACTCATGACTCACCATCTGTTCGGAAAACTCATAACGGTGGCCGAAAACATAAGGTTTGTTCAAGTTGTTATACGCAAAAGTGGAATGATTTGGTACAGACATTATGTTTTTAAGAATCCTTTATAAGAAAAGCTGGTAGTTATTGCATAAGATGAAATCTTCCACATTTCCATGATCAGAATTCCAAGGTAGTTTATGTGTTGCACTGTACGAACGTTTAAAACCAAAATAAATTTTATCATTTTTTACTCTATGGTGCTTACCTTTACCTTGATTGTCAAAGCAGAATTCTTTCATGAATGTCAGACGAATTAATATATTTATTATGCGTTTATGCTGTTACTTATTTTATGAAATGAAACCTAATTAAAAAGTTACGGAGTCCAGCAGATGTTTTTGTCTCTAGGGATTAAAAAGTCGTAGTCGGAGATGATCAAGCAGAAATTTTTCTTTTATTTTTTTTTATAGCTAAGCAGAATATCCATTTCAGGAAAATGTACGAATGTTCTATCAAAAGTGGATGGAGGAGCAGGCGCAGAAATTAGTGGATGCTACTGCGCGAGCATTTACCCAAGGACGCATGGGTAGTAGTCAAGGAACTGCTCCCCGAATGCCTATGGTACTTTTTCTTTGAATTTTGCGTGAGGATAATTTCAAGACCTTACTTTTGTTTTTCGTAAAAAACTCTTTTTCCTTATACGTATAAATGATGCTGCACAAGCCTTTGATTGACTGGTTTTTTTTAAATCTTGTGCTGTTTATAGAACAGACTTAAGCTTTAATATTAAAGTTTTACATTTTTTCACGGCAAAAAATTTGAAGCAAATATTCTTTGGGAACCAATTATTTTAGTGGATGGATCTTTATTTATTTTGGTGTACTTCAGAACTTAGATTAGTTAAGTAGGTTTCTTCTTTTCTTGACTTGCATAAAAAAAATACATAAAACATTACAACATCTTATACTTCTCTTATATGAGGTGTCTTGTTTTCAAAAAATTCCGGACGAAGTATTTAGTCTTGGATTCGTATACTTTAGTGTTCATTCTCGCATGAAAAATAATTTATATATCTAGAAATTTTTCAGTTCTTGCTTTAATTTATATTTGAAATATCCTCATTAAATTTTTAGGCAGTGAATGGACCAAGACCACCCATTATGACACCAGTTGGTGGTCCACCGGTTCGAGGTCCAATGCCATTTCCTTATCCACCAATGGGTGCTCCAATGGGACCGCCAATGATGATGAGGCCACCGTTCATGATGCCGACTGGACCACGCCGAGAGATACGATAGTAGTTTTACTACTGTTTAGTTATTTTGGGAAATAATAGACCCTGTGCTATGTTTCAAATGTTGCAGCCAGATTTGGCAAAACATCAGCTTTACAAAGATCATTTGAGGAATACTTGTTTGGATACCATCTTCCACAGTTCTAGGTTTAATTGAATGAAGTAAAAAATTATGCTTAGTTTTCCAAATTGTTCCGTTGTTTCATTGTTTTCAATTCCTTTTTTGCTTTTATGTTAATAATTCTGTTCACGAACTGATAAATTACGATGTATCAAGTTGAAAGCTTATATATTGCGCAGTTTTTAAAGAAAAACTGTATTCATCCTTGAAAATAGGTGTATGGGAGACTACATGACATTGGGAGAATAGTTAAAATCTATTTAACAAGGGGAAAAAAAAATCGTAAAAGATGGAAATAGTATTAAACGATATAAATGAAGAGAGTACGTAGCACTGGTAAAGACATATTTGAATATAGATAGGGGAAGTGATGGTGATTTCAATGTTACCGTAAAGCCTAATTGTGATTATTCGTTTTTTTTTTTTTCTTTCGGGTAAATCTGTTTAATTTGATGTCCATGAAATGATAGTTTATATAAGTTTTATTTCTGTTGTTTTGTTTCCTAAATTTTCATCCTCGCATTAGCACCATTATCATTTATTGGATTTGTGACAAGCAGTATTGCAGAATCAAGTGCATTCATTTAAACTTATATATTACTGGAAATAAAACTTCTTTATTTGCTCATGCCGACCAATTCGAATGCGGAGAAATTGCGAAAGCAAATTCGCAAAGCATTTCAAATGCGCGCACTCACAATAAGCAAGTAAACGTTTCTGTTGTAGAGCTTGTACTGCTTATTCTCATTGATTTTAATTCTCGTAGATTTTTGTAGTGCTTAAAATCTGAAGAGATTCAAATAATAATTTGTTGGTGACTGTTCGCAGGGAGGCTATGGAATATGCTGTGCAGATTCTGGTGGATTTACAAAGTGAAGAGCGAGTCAGGTGGATAAACAAAGTTATTAGTGTGTTGTCGAAACAGAAGGGTATGTTTCTATAGATACTCTCAAAGAAGGTTCACATTACATTGACCTCTCATTCATAACTTCAAATTCACTTCTGAAACAACGTACTTCTCGAGATTGGATATACCTAAATATAATCATGAGATATCGATTTGAAAAGTAGATTATAGAGATTCTCCACAATTACGTATTTCAGCAAGCGGACCAGTACTTTCGTTCAATGAATTCAAGTCTGCTGTTAATGAATGTGCTAGCAGTCGTTCCTCAAAACAGTTAGCTTTTTTTTTTTTTTTTTTTTTTTTTTTTCTGGTTTTAAGTAATCATTCCTTCTTTAGGTTATGCAGGATTATTAAGGCAAATTCAAGCTGATATTAGAATCAACTCATTATTGATATCGGCTACTCATTAGCGGTAAAATGAGTGCAATTTAAGCACAAAATATCGTCTACTCTATATTGGTTTCAGTACTTAAACAAGATAGTGTTAATTGTGTATCTATGAAGATGAAGTTTTTTTATGTTCATGAAAACTTACATGTTAAAAAACTTACATGTGTGTGTTCTGTTTGAGCAATTAACTAAGGAAGGCCAGTATGAAAGGTATAATTCTTTTTAGTCAATAGAAATTTATGTTGAATTTCATTTTTCGTAATTGCTGTGGGAATGTTTGTAAATAGTTGTTTTTTTTTTTTTTTAAATAGTCACATAACCTAACCCTGATCTAGATTAACTTTTTTTATGAATTAGTTAAATAAAACTAAATTCTACTGCAGAGAATCATTAATTCGTGTAATTGATTTGTTCACTGTTCCACGTTTACGGTATGATGAACAACGTAAGATGTTAGTTGCAGTAGATGGTCTATCATCTGCTATAGGACAAAGTAATGATGCGAAGATTTTATACAGAGAACGTCTGAAACTTGTCGTGCAAGTTAGTTAACTTTTTAATTTGTTCGAACAATATTGCTGTTGTTATACATTTATTATTATTATTATTATTATTATTATTATTATTATTATTATTATTATTATTATTATTATTATCATTATTTGTTATTACATTAGTTATTAATTATATTAATTTTATAAATTTTAGGAAATTTTTATGTTTTTGCTGATTTTTACAGGTTTTTGTTTTATAAATTTTTCACTTTTTTTTTGCAAGCTTTTGGTAGTGTTTATTAATTTTTTCGACGGTTAAATCAGTTGTAATCCATTTTCAGCGTGCATTACGAAACTCTGCGTTTGAGCATTATCAATTATGCACGGTGGAAGCTCTACTAGGCACTCCAGAAAGATCAGATAATTCGGTGTTAATAGGAATGTTAACTCAGAGGGATCCTGGAGTTTATGAAATCGAGGATCTTACAGGTAAAAGCAAATAGTTATTTATCTTTTTTTTATTAAAATTACCTAAGTTCCAAAGCATTAAATAAACAAGTACGATTGATTAGTGTCAATTTGGTTTCTGATACAACTGCGTAAAAGATTATGTCGGGGTTTGCAGGCGCTATAGAAGTTGATCTTAAGGAAGCGACCTTCCACAAAGGTCTTTTCACCGATGGCTGTATAATGATGTTGGAAGGTCGATCTGTTGGCGGCTTATTTCGTGTTAGTGCTGTTGGTCTTGCACCAGTTGAAAGTGCTACAGTTACAAGAAATTACTTTGGAGTAACGAACTGGTTTGGTGGTGAAGGTACAGTTGCCTGTGGCTCACAGATTCGACTTCGAACACTATGCGAACGAAATGATAGAACAAGGTTCATCCTTATGTCAGATGTATGGCTGGATGATTCAAGGGTTAAGTCGTTCTCTCTTTTCAAAGACGCTGGTTCAAACATGTTAAGCACTTTTTTAATAAATTTAAAAAAAATTCCCCGTTCTGTGAAGGTTTAATTGATGCTTTTTGCCGATATTTTAAAAAATCTTTTTTAGATATTGAGTGCAATCAATGAGCTTATATTTGCTTTCACAGATTCCCAGTTGCTTGCATTCATTATATGTGGTAATTTCTGTTCTCAGATGGGTACAGCTGACTCATATCATCGCACTTATGGTTTGTTTTCCACATGATGTTATTAGGCGTTTTGTGGAACGTAGCTTACTCTACCATATTTTATCGTAGTTGCCCATGTTTTTGCATTTTGTGACGATAATGACCGCACTCTTCCATTATTTTCCCAAAGTTGCGCAGGCAAGATTTACTGTTTAGATAATCCACTTTCTTATCTAAACGTGAGGATATATAATTTCTCAACACTAGTGTTTTTGAATGAATCTAATTTCATATGGATTTCGTCGCTTGGCAGCTATTTTGCAAAAAGATATATTTGCTGGTCGTAATGTTCATTTTATATTCGTCCCTGGTCCAGATGATCCTTCACTGAATTCGATATTGCCGCGGTAAGCACTTATAGAGTTTCTGAGCCTATATAATCGATATGTATTGAATCGATTACCATTTGTTGCATTACTTCTCAATTTTATAGTGAAAACTTTTTGAAAAAAAAAAATACTGGGCTTTTTGTATGTATGTCTCTGAGGCATTTTATCTGATTTCAGCAAATACTTTTTTTAAAGACATGAAGCCATGCTGTTATAAATTGTCATGCTCATCTTACATTCAATTTACGTTCGTTTTAAAATATCTCATTTTTGTTTTGTATTGGATCGACGTGGTTTTACATGCCTTATTGAATTTTAGTGACACACATACTGCTTATCAGTTTGAAAGAATCGCTTTGGGTTTGTGGTTCCTGCATTTGAATTCCAAACTACTAATTTCCAAAAAAAAATTACATGCTTTGGTATAGTTTAACATATATAGATAGTTTTAAGTTTCCATTTCAGGCCACCATTACCATTTCAACTTTTCGAACTAATGAGAGATGTACCGAATTGTTCGTTTGCATCAAATCCATGTCGTATACAATATACCAATCAAGAAATTGTCATCATGCGTCATGATTTGGTTGAAAAAATGTGCAGAAATAGTATTCATATGCCGTCAACTACTGCCGACATTCCAGAACATGTGAATTTTTTTTTCAATATTCCTATTTTAGAACAAATAAGAAGTAGAGTTTTACTGATGTTTATTTACTTTTCTTTCAACTTTAAAAAGTTTCACAATCTATTTTGATGCTATAGGTTCTTTTTGGTTATCTTATACTGTTCTGTATTAGATAAAATTCAATATGGTATAGTTGCAGCACTCTGTTTGTCCCAGCGAAGTCCATATATCTTAGGCTGATATTTAAAATAAGATTTTTGACAAAATGGTGTGAAAGTTGTAAATTTACTTATACTGCTTAAAAAATGATTATATTGCAGTTCTGTCATACAATCGCTTCCGTTGGACACTTATCGCCACTACCACTACACATATCACCTGTTATTTGGCAAATGGATAGCTACCTTACACTGTACCCTTTACCAGATCTCGTTGTCATCGCTGATAAATTCGAACATTTTCATTACCAATTGGAAAATACTTTGTTTGTTAATCCAGGGTCCTTTGCTCGTACTGACCTCAATTTTTATGTATATTACCCAGCACTTCGTACGGTTGAAGTATGTTCTGCTGATCAGAAAGCTACTGAAGCTCCTGAATAATTCTGTTTTGTTTGTTAAAGAATAGAATTTTGAATTGTTACTAGTCAGTTAGCCGAAATTAAGCAATGTCAAAGATGAGCCCTACAAATAATGCCTTAGAATGGTATTCCAAGAGCAATAAATTGAAAAGCTTTCTGTTCGATTTATTGCTGGTTGGAGTACCTTTTAGAGTAAGAGGTCCATGCAAAGTAATAAGTAAAAAATTAATTTAGGTTTATTCTCCTGGTCATTAGCCTGTTCGCTTGATTTTTAAGTTATAATGGAAACTTGGTGACCTTTGTATGTTTTATAATAGAATGATTTGCACGCTGAATAAATTTGTTCTAAAAAGCATGAAATACATTAATCAGTTGCATTTAGGTTATAGACAGGAGTAAATAATTTCAAAAATGAAGCAAATGAATGAAAAAAGCCAGTCTTACATCAAATTGACTATTGTAAGTGTTACAGCGGTAATTGTTTCGTGACGAAAAAATACGGTGAAGTGAAAAGCCGTACCTGAAAGAGATGCATAACGATAGACAGGTGTAGTAGTAAGAGGTTGTTGAATATAAACCATTGGAATGTATTAGCGAAGTCAATCTATGAGGATACTTTCACTGCTAACCTAACACATATCCAAAGTATTTGAATGTATGTGTATATGTCATGCTTACTCTTTAAGGCCTTTTAGGAGCAACGCATGCAGAGTTAATATATATATATACATGTACACACAACATCGATTGTTTGTTGTATTTACTAGCAATGAAGGAGCAATGCTTCTCAAGTTTAAAGCTTCACATCTGATTGAGGGGTGAACATCGTTCCGTTAGCTAATTCATTTTTTTGTCTCCAGCGGTGGTGTCGCATATGACTAGAAATGATGACATAAATAGCTATCCGAATGACCACTGTAATGAATTTCACATAAAAATATGTCGTTAGTTCAATAGAGATTCTTCCATGTGTTTACAGCATGCATTTAATGTCATCACAAAGGTGTTATCCCAGCCACTTTTGCATATTTTTGCTCTAAAGAATTTCGCGTTCTATTCTATTTTCACATAATGGCAATTCTCTTAATCAGTATTATCACAGTTTTACTTTCTACTCTTCCGACAATTTATTATTAAATTTATCAGTTAATAAATTTATTGCCAACATTCATTTACAATGACTTTTCAGCTCAAGCTATCATTATTATCAGTTATTGAGAAATTTTAATAATCTGTTCATAAAAATTTTTGTTTTCGTGAAGAGATATATAAATTTAAAGAATTCATGATGGTATTTTGGTAGCTAATCACCACTATTTGAACAGCAGACATGATTTTTTTTTCTTTCGTTCCTAATAGAGTTTTCATTTATTTTCACAAAGCTTGAATTGTGAAAACTCTAATCTGAAATCTCATTATTTAGCCTTAATTTTTATTTTTTCCAATTTAATAATAGAATCCTTAATCATGTAAATACTATCTAAAGTAAATTTAAAACTTTTTTTTCGCATTCTACAGAATTGGCCAGTTAAAACTAATTTATTTCGAAAATGTTCAAAAAACGAAAGGAATCGGTAGTTTTATGTACAGGGAAGGCGGTGAGTTATTAAGCTTTCATTCGGGAAGATGCATGCTGCGGGAAATAATTGCTAATGACGATTGCGCTTTCTTGCCATTAAGGCACAAGAAGAGAAAGATGAATAAAAAGCTTTTAATCATATTTCCGGTCCTTTTTCGGTCGTTTCCCTATCATTTCCGATCTCTTTTCGTATCAATGCAGTCAATTTCCTAAATTTCTTGTTTATAGAAAGTCTCAGTTATTCGTAGAATTTAAAACCGATAATTCGGGGATTCATTTCCATTCAATTCAATATTCCTAATTTTGCTTCATCTTTCTCTTTCTGAATAATTGATATGCTTCTAGCAAATATGATAAAATCAAATGTATTACAGATGGAGGAAGATCGACTGGGGATGTCGATAACAGGTGATGTTACTGAGATTATCAAGGATACAAATGGTGTTATCGGTATATCAATCGGTGGAGGTGCACCATATTGTCCTTGTATCTATGTGGTACAGGTTTTTGAGAATTCACCGATGGCTTTGAATGGACAAATTCAAGCCGGTGACGAAATTATTAGGTGTAAATTTCATTTGAAATGATGTGATCAAATAATATGGTCAAAGTAATAGTGCCAGACATCTATCACAGGAAATGTTTGAAATTTCATATCTTTTATTGAATTTGTATTGAAGTGTCAACATTGAGCTTAATTAGATCAATCAAAGTTTATTTTATCTTAACATTATATTATATTATACTTATTATACCAGAATTTAATTTAAATCGTATTCTTTTGCTTTTAGTGTAAATGGTATTTCGGTAAAAGGAGAAGATAAAACGGCGATTGCAAAGATGATTCAGGAAGCGGAAGGATCTGTTAAACTTGGATTCAATGTTCTTCATGCTGAAATAATAGATGTATCATATCATTAATACTATATTTTGTGGAGCAATAATTTCTAATCAGTTATTATGTAATATTTCCAGGGACATACACTAGACATAGCGTTGAAGAAGATGAAACATCGTGTGGTAGAATCAATAACTACCGAAACTGCTGATGCACTGGGATTATCTCGAGCAATTTTATGCAATGATCTTTTACTTCAGAAATTAAATCGTTTGGAACAATGCTCTCAATTATATAAGAAACTTATCAAACATCTCAGTGCTCTACTTAATTCTCATTATCATATTGCCAAAACTCAAAAAGGTTTCTGTGTTTTTTTTTCTAATTAAACTGTAAAAATTATTCATAACAATTGAACAGTTTTTTTTTTTTAAAAAAAAAAAAGAAATCAAGTGATAATTGAGCCTTTTTTTTGGCTTATCATCAAGTTTCATTTTAGTTCATTTAAATACTATTTTAAGCAAATGATCTTAGTAACAAATGGAATCTGAAGTTAAACTTTCCAATTTTATGCCTCGCATTATGATAGCAAGAAATAGTTTAATAACTGTCAAAAAATCATTCGTAACTTTGTTGAAAAAATGAATTATTAAATGAGAGAAATTTTTTAATAAAATGACGTTGGATTTAATTGATTGGATTTGTTTTTTTTTCTTTTTTTTTGTTATATTTGTCTGATAATGCGTCACTTTATTATTCTTCTTTATCGTCGTTTTCGCAGCTGTTTGCCTTTCTTTCGAAAAATTGGCAAATTAAAAAGAATTTTTTTTTGTCACCAAAATCGTGACAACTATACTTTCTCATTATTTCAAAAGCTGTGAGGCTTTTTTTTGGCATACCGATTGTTCAGAGCAATTTCAATAACTAATATGTGTCTCCGATATTATGACAAAAGTCGCTGAGAAGAGTATAAAAATAGCAAAGCATAAATTCAAACAAAAAAGGCTTATTTGCATTAAAAAATATATAAGAATTACTAAAGTGACATATTAAAATATCTCATCAACTGTTTCAAAAAAATTGCATTCTGTAATTTGTTGCAGAATTTGGTGATTTATTCTGTCAGATAGCAGCACGAGAAAGCTCTACAACAACCAATAAAGCATTGCTAACATTTGGCAATATGCATCGAACCATTGAAAAGCATACCGTAAAGTCAATCATTCATTTTATTACTTTCTGTTTTTTGAATCTGATATCCAACAGACTGTGCCATTTCGAATTTATCATTCTGATTTGTAAATGATCATATGAAATAGGAGAAGACAAAAGAATAAGTTTGAATTGCATTTGAATTACAAATGAATTAGCATGTAGCGTTTACTTACCTCAGTGGTTATTGTAAACGTTATTATAAAGTTACTATAAAATGCAAAAAAAGAAAAAAGAAAAGCAAAATGGAGAATGAAAAGTTTTTTGATGCATTAAAATATAGTAGTGAACAATGCATTGAAATACGAATAAATTATTAAATATTTTAAATAGCACATTAATCGTCATTAAACGACATGATCGAGAACATTATTACATGCAAACTTATGGTTTATGATTTTTGATCATTTACTTATCGATCCTTGTTTTTGCTTATTACGGATTCTTCTTTTTATTTTTGTTATTTTATTATTCTTTTTTTTTTTTTTTTAAATAAATCGGTAAATCATGCAACAATTTGCACATTTTTCTCTAATATTCTTCTAATATTCCGTTGAAATCATTGTATTTTTCAAATAAGCATTACAATTTCTAATGAATTATATACAATTCAAATTTCAGATTTGTAAAAAGTCTACATCCAATAGTGCGTGACCTGAAAACATTTGTTGAAAAAGCAATTCCGGATACAAAACTAACTCTAAAGAAATACCTAGATGCTAAATTTGAATATTTGGCATTTTGCTTAAAGTTGAAAGAAATGGACGATGAAGAAGTAGAAGCAGCTAGTTACGATGAGCCGTTGTATCGTGTTGAAACGGGTAATTATGAATACAGGTTGGTTTCATAAACTACCCTACCTGTCGCATTTCTGTGTCTCCTATATGATTCACCTGTGGGACTTATAAAGCTCTTCCTAGCGTCATAGTCGGGTTTTGATAAAAGTTTATATAACAGGTAATAGGCATTAAAAAAGAGTTAGATGACACCAACCCATCACTAGAAATCTTCGGTGTTTTAAGCTTGTGAAGCGTTTAGAAATGTCACTCTAATTTCAGGCTGATGCTGCGCTGCCGACAGAATAGTCATGAAAAATTCATGAAGTTAAGGAGGGACGTCATGGAAAAGTTGGAATTATTGGATCAGAAACATGGTTTGGCACATTTTACAGCTTTAGCTTATCTCGTACAGAGTTCAGTTTAATTCATATAAATTGGACAATGGGCCATGTTTTACATAGTTTGATCGTTCATAGTTGTGAATAAAAGAAAAGAACTGAAAGAAAAAATCATTTTGCAAAAATTTCTAAGAAGTCTTTTTAGACCGGTTGTGATGGTTTTGATAATTAATTCAAAATAGTTAAATATAATTATGCTGGATACATTTGTAGTGCAAGATATAGGCATTCAGTTATCAAGTTTTGTGAAAGCTATAATGGAAACACACGCGGAATGTCGAGATGCTATTTCCGGAGCAAATGGATTATTTCCGATTGATATTGACCTCGAGCAAGTGTGTTATCATAATTAAATTATTATTACGATTAGTATTAGTGACTTCAATAATTGTAGTATTACTCTTATCGCAACAACTTAATCTATCATAATAGTTTTTACCAGCAAAGCTGTGTTATTTTATTTCATTCATAGAAAATTAACATCATTTCATTAACACAATTCCCGTTTTCAATGCAAACATTATGTAATTTTATAACAGATCATTCACCGATACAATACTAGCGGTCGACTAGAGGAAGAAGAGGAAGAGACTGATAAGATGGAAATAGTGGAGGAGCAGAAATCCGAGGATCTGCTGGATTTATCTTGATGTCCAGTTGATCTCACTCTTGTACTTCAAATGTGAACAGAATTGAAGATACAAATAATTGTTTGTTGTACATATTCGATTGATTTAAATCATAGAAAAGCTCAACTTCTCATCCACGCTATTCTGTAACAACAAAAAATAAAAAATAAGAAATAATTATGAAAGGAAAAATGAAATCTTCATCTAATTCAGAATCTCAACAAAGGCAAAAGGCTTCATCTTAATTATTAATGAGCTTCAACAGCAACTTTGCTTTGTTGTTCTGCACATTGTTATTTATGAAGAGGTCTCGCGTGCAAAATTATTTTACGTATCATAACAGTAAAATGCATTTAAAATGCGCACATATCTGGTCATTTTATTCTGCAAAAAGTGTTCGTCCTCAACGGAATGTTTATTCTTTTACCATTCCACTGAAAATGGCGGATTTAAATTTGAGTGAAGTGGTGGAAGAATGAATGTTTGGAAAGGAAGGGAGCAAAGCAATGCGTGGCGGTCGAGAGCGAAACACAATTGATCCTAAAGATTTAGCGCTTTGAGGGCTCCTAGATTAGTGATCAGAGATCAGCAGGGAGTGAGCTAAGATCCATGGTGAAGTTCACTCGGGCACTATCAGTGACGACAAGCTAATGGCGCAATTATCTATCGTCACCTACCCTCGACACCCTTTTCTGTGTTCCCTCCTGCGAAGCCGACAAGAATGGCGCAAATGCTGTATGTGATATGTGACACAAGATAAGTCCAAGGGTTACAGGTGACTAGAGAGAGGGAGAGATACAGACTCGGCGGGTACGGCAAATGCGCACTCGCCAATAGATAGTTCCTTCTGTCGTGCAGCGCTGCTATTGACATATGCGCTCCAACCACTATCCTTCACGACGCTATTTGCCTTGTTATTCTCTGCTACGGGCGCAAATGTTCTCCATCCCTTCCTTTCTTTCTCTGACCTCCTGTCTTTTCATGTCAAGACATATCTGTGGTAGGATGGAAGAGAGGGCACCTGCCGATGACACAACTGCGCCCCTCACCCTAAACAACTCTTCCTCCCTTCGTCAGCTTCCTTCCCGTATCCGTTCTACAAGCAAGCAATACCCCGGCTTCTCCGCTATTGTTTACTCGTTATTTGTAAATTGTCATGGAATAAGGCTTGTCCTGCTTGCATGCTTGCATGCAATCTGCAGCTGGAAAGTTGAGTTAGTAAAGTTTGCTAGTTAAGGAACCGTCCACCACTGCTTCGTTCTCCTTCTTCATCTTTCAGTTTATAACTTTTAATTTATAACTTCCGCGTCGTTATTGTCATTGTTCCGGAAACGAATTAGTGAATCCTAAAAGAGGATACTTTTAAATTATGAATATTTCTATATTGTATGAGAGTGAGTAAAAATAGTAGTAGTAAATATTGTACTATCTCCTGTTAAACATCGTGACATAATCCGGTTTACATCTGAGAGGTAGGATATTTCTTCACAACTTCTACAGCTTACTATTCGTTAGCTTAATCGAAATTGCTTTCTGGCCTGTCTTAGGATACCCAACATAGGAAAGCTACCCAGGACATTTAGTTCAAAAAGTCTCCGATTCAAAAAGTCCAGTGATTTCCGGTATGTCTCATTTGGTTATTCGCAACTGCACTCATTCATTGAACCACAGGGAATGATGTCAACATATGTATGTCTCTTTTTTGTTTTACATTTGAGTTGTGCCGGGAAAGGACCGCGGCATATTCGGCACTTGTCATCTCCTCACATTGCCCTCTCTCTCTCTCTCTCCCTCTGATTCCTACTCCATTACATATCTGAATTGGGAGTATCTTTATGTTCATAATTATCTTGAATAAACGAAACAACCACATGACCTGTTGGGGTTATGATGACCATCAAATTATTACTCCATCGATTGCTGCTGACCAATCTGTGATTCATATCAATTATCCGACCTCTGCAAATTTTTTAAATGAAAGAGATACCTCCAAAGAGCGGATGTTTTGTTACAGTAGAGAGAATAGAATAGGAAAAACAATGTAATTGTAATGCCGTAAATGTGAAAAGAGCATTAGCAGAAGATTAAAGGTTAAAGGTTAGCAGCGTTCTGAATATGTCGAAAATATTTTGTGAAGTTTAAAGACGTCTTGGTTACATATCTGCTGTGACTGTTGATTCCTTTCCAATACATCATTCCATGAAGTGGAAGTTCGTTATGTTTTATAACTATTACACGTAATATGGAGTACATTTCATCATCTCAGTTACTTTAACTTTAAGTAACAATAGGTTAAATTTTAATGATTTGAATGATTGAATTTGCGCTTTTCTCACCGTTAAGCCATTTACGAGATAAAGTGATAGTAACAGACGGACAAGTCTATAAATCAATCGGAAAAAACACATTGAGATTTATTCAAACTTGAAAATACTTGAATCCTCGCGTCAATATCACAAGGAAATCATGCGAACGGATCAGTCGAATCGCAGTTATCCTGTAGATAGGTACAGTTTAATTTTTTTTCCTTAACCAAGTCATATCAAAAAGCAACAATACTTACGGAAGATATTGCTTAGGTTTTTTGGTTTTGGATATTTAAGTGACAAATCATAACGATCAATTGGACTTCATTTTGGCAGCGTCATTTGTACAAATGAGCTACGACATGCCAATTGCATGCTTGTTAGCTTTATTAACACTTGGCTCAATCTAATAACCTTTGAGTAATTTGCATCACTGATTAAGCTTAGTGTATTATTGTTTCTTTCAAGCTACTGCTTAAATTTTCGCTGTTGTCCAAATCTTCTTAAATGTTTTACAGATTGGGAAGTTTTCAGTGATTGTTACTGTTTTGTTACTGAACAATTTCAGCGACGAAGACACTAAGGGATCACTCGGTGAAGGGACATCTTCATTTTCATTGGATATAACTGCAAGGGGACGACCATTGATCATTTTCAAAGGATATGAGCATCGTCAAGTTCGAGTCGATCGAGCGCGTAATTTGAAAGCTTATCGGTAATCATTCTATAAACATAAATAACAATGCTGTTGGCTTATTATCATAACACACCTATGATATTTATGTTTAATGCCTTGAATCTCGACCGAAAATAATATTATTTTTTGTGTTTTGTTTGTTTAGATGTATCAAGAAGAAATGTAAGGGACGTCTGCATACTGATTATAATGATACAAATGTGAGAATTGTTAGCGAGCATGTCCATGAACCAAATTTCGATGCCGAATTTGTTAGTTTCTTTTTTTTATAAAGTTGAGTATTACTTTAATCATTGTCCATGAGGATATTTCACGATTATTTAAATCTACAAGTATCTTCTCATTCAAATTTTGTATATAATGAATAATTTTATAGCATTTATTTAGAAACGACGAAGACGTACATTGCTTCGCGAATTAGCTCAGAAGGGTAATGTTTCACCATCTCAGATAATTCAGAAAGCTCGGGATCTCGAAATGCAATATCACGATGTTTGTGAGTCTACAAAAACGAGTTATGCCGCTGAAAGACGGTATTTTACTTAAATTTTCTCTCTTTTTGTCCAATATTTTATAACAAATCAGATATAACTTCTAACTAAATAACAAAGTAAAATTATAATGTAAGAATGCAATATGGGGAAAGAGGGTTTTAATGCTATAGGTAAAATTAATCTTTTAAGGTGCTACGTAATTGAAACGAAGAATTTGAGTAGCTAGTAGATCATTAGCAGTTTATTAATTTTGTATAAGCGAATGATAATGGTGCAGATTAATTTAGCTATATTCAACGTTATTGGAATCGGCAAAAGCAACAAGAATTCTCCAGTGGAAATGGATTAGTGCCAGTAAAACATGAGGTTTGTGATTTTTCCTGTCGTGTATCAGTGAAAATAGAAGAATTGCAAATAGGAATTTTTTTTTTTATAAGCATAATTTTATTAGAAAGCCTATTCATTCATAAAGACCAACTTTGAGGTATCGTTAACTTCCAACAGATCATTTCGGAATTCCTTTTCTTATGGTAAGAAGTTAAAGGAATATCTGTTAACATCTTATTCGTTTTTGATATGTTCAACACTGGCAGCGTTGTATCATTCTGCATGTCTCATAAATTCTCTTTCGTTATGGAACATTAGAAGAATAGGATTTAGTGAATTCATGAATATGAATTCACTAAATCATATTCATATTCATGGGAATAATAGAGTTTCATGAGTTCATTAGTATTATTATATTGGTACGTTGCCATACTTATGTTTTTCGGTCACAGTCGCTGTGTCACTGATTTGAACATTTCCAGGTAACAGATTGTAACAGTGAATCGAAAATAGAAGAAGATGGCGGAGATGTAGAGGAGGAATCTGTTGATGTGCCATCTTTGTTTCCGGGTGATTCTGCTCATATATCAGAACAGTTTAATCAGTTCTTACAAATGACTAATGGTACAACTAATGGCAGTAGCGCTTCAGCGATGAATGTTTATCTGAACTTATTACTGCAACAGATGCTTTCAAATGCAGTCGGAAACAATTCCAGCAACAATCTTCAGGATGCTGATGATTACTGTTCATCAAATTCTTCACATCAAGATCAGTTAGATAGAAAGCAAACTTTAGTTGATGCAGAAATTCAGACAAATAACGATGAATCCGGTATCCATGCACCTGTCCATGATGCTGCAGTACGTGACACATTAGCTTTAGAGTTGGGAACCATTCTGGCAAAGAAATTCTGGCCTCAGCATTATTTACGCGAGGACAAACTAAAACTCATGGTTGATGTTATCGGTAAACTGCTCCACTGCTGTTAATTTCACTTAAGGTTGTTAAGTAACGCTATATTTTAGTATAGGTGTTCAGCAGTAGACTAATATCACTTCGAGTTTTCTGCAACTCTCAAAAAAATAAATAAATAAAGCCGAAGAAAAAATTCTCATAATTATGATCTCAGGTGGTAAAAAGTTGTTTGCAATTTTTCTGAAACGTATAAACCATTATTAACTGTAGTAGATTTTAGGTCATTTAAATCAATTTGGCACTGTTTTGTTAGTCTTAATCTTCTATTTGTTTTTAATACAAAAGAATAAAATAGTTTCTCGACCTACCTCACTTTTTAAAATCACCTAATTCAAACTAGGAAATCGAAATAGAATTCATAAGAAATTTCTTATACCGTCACATAAAGCAACAATACATGAGCACGAAATCCGGTTTCACTTATAAGCTTTGATATTCCTGTGCAACTTGTCTCTTAAGGGATTATATAAGGATCAAAAAGCAAAATGCGTAAAGCAAGCTAAGTCTAAAATTCATTCCAGAATTTTAGTAAATTCTATTGAATTGTATATAGAAATGTTTACTTGGTGTTTTTTGTATTTGAAAATTTCAAATGATTCGAAGTTTTTGTTCACTATCTTGTTTATATTAAATTATTGAATGGAAAATCTTCTGACCAGTGTGTTTTAATATACAAGCTTTCTCATTTTAAATTTCTTGTGCCAAATTATTTCCAGCATATTGTTGAGTCCTTCATAAGTTTGCAAAATCATTGTGTCTTTTTGTATTTTATATTGTGCAAAAATGTGCTTGGACAAAAGTTGATCAAATGAATCTGTGAATAATATTGAAAAATGTATGGAGCATACAGTTGTCACATATATATATTATTCGAATGCCCATTTGCCAGGACAGAATTTTTTATGTTTTATGTTGTACCTCAGTTTTTTGAGCGAAGTCTTTTTTTTTTGTATGAAAGTTTGAATGGAACTTTTTGTTGAACGTGTTTTTATGTAGTTCAAATTTAAAATATGAAATTCGGACTTATGTCCACTTCTTTTTCTTTGAAAGATTCTTCATAGTCATTGATAACAGAATTGACTATTAATTAAGTAAAGGATGTTTTGATGGAATGAAAAGCTTGAGTATAGCACATGAGTTCATGTAGAGCATTTTATCAATAATTCATATCAAGAAAGACATACGTTTCAACAAAACATATCACTGTATACGTTATAGATGTTCTCGCAATGTCGCGGATCTTATTTAACTACTGGATTACAACTATTATAAATTTAAGAACAAGTATGAAAGGTTCTGACATTTCTCATAAAAGAGATTCTCATGCGGGATTCGGGTATTTGGTGTTCTTAATGAAGTATGAATTTGAAGACTAATAATCATTATAAGGGATGTTAATACGATGACTTGGATTGCAGCTAATAATTGAGTCAGTCGGTGTAATGTATTCGAATTTTCTCCAATCATTTCAAAGAACATTTATTGGTCTTTGTATGTATTTTATTTATTGATATATTTTTTATCAATAGCTCCGAACCTGAAAGATCTAGATGACAAGAGTAGATCCAGCATCATCTGTCAACGGCTACAAATACAGCCTATAAGCATAACAGCTTATATCACCTTTAGTAGCCTGACAGAATAATTCTGTATTGGTCAGAAACGAAAAATCATCCTTGGAGCATATTACATTGAAATGACCATCGAATTGAGCCTCAGCTGCTAACTGAATCATTTTTTTTGTCGCATTCAAATCTTTTCCAATATTCTATAATATCTCTTTGAAGAATCAAATAAGGAATTCATCAGTAGTTAATAATTTTTCTTTTTAAAAGAGAGGAATTTTTTTTTCTTTAAAAAAAAGCAAAATTGAAATTAGACTTCCAGAAGGATTTTATTGTGATGAATTCTCATTTGAAATTTTCAAAATTTGATTTGTGACTTAAATTATTACCAAAAAATTATCGAATGCTTAAATGAATAATCATCACTTAGCAGAATATTTAACAAACAACTTTGAAATATGTTGAATCAATCGAATTTAGAGAGAAGAACGAAAATTTTTTTTATTTTAATTGATTATGCTAATTTCAGTATACTTTACCTCAAGCATTATAATTTTAAGTTTGTTATCATTACATTCTGAGTCACCGATAGTGATAAGAGATGATATTGGTATTGGTTTAATCGGTTCTTGTATTTGTAACGTTTGATTGTGAAACTCTTCAATTGCATCCAAAAGATCAGCCACTTCCTTATCTTTTATATTTTCTTCCTTCTGTAAGTTTGGCGAATAGAAGTTAGAGAAAGAATTCTTATCATATTATGATAAGAAATTAAAAAAGAATAGTAGCAACAATAAAAGCACTTTTTTTTTCACTGCACCAATTTGTTTTGGTAAAATTTGCAACGATTCTTTTTCCAAACAAGAAGAAACAGATTGCTTCATCTTTCATGTTGTATTCATAAATCATTCAAGAAATTTTGTCATCATTTTTTCTTCAAAATATTTTACGAGTTAATCAATCCAGTATAGAACTCTCAGAAATTCTGAGAGTTCTAGATGAAATAGCTTTTCAGTTCTGGAAAAACGATAAGTACACCACTGTAACTCTTTTGTATACCTGAGTAAAATGCGATCTATTTCTTGCACTACTTCCGGATTTTGATTTCTTCCTTGTTTGTCTTACTGTTTGTTTCTGCAAAATTTTTTAAAATGAATTCGTTGTGATGAGTCATCTGATACCTGTCATCTTCTCAACGGTGGTCTTATGTATCACCTCTTCCTTCGTTTCAATCCAAAAAAATGAATACATACAGCAAAGTTTGGCCGTTGTTGTTTGTACGGAAGTACACTGCTGGATGATTGCGCCCGTACATTAGACTGCTGCGCTGGCAGTCTCCCATGTTGCGACAACGGTGGTAGGTAAGGTTGTTGTGATGGATGGGATGCATGATGAGGAGGTAATTGCTGCATTGCATAAACAGGTGAAATAGGCTCTGATAATGAGTTAATCTAAAATCGATAAACTTTATTAGGTTCTACTATTATAGATTGATCTGAAATCGATAAACTCGGTGATATCTAGCACTGCCACCTGATTTTTATCTGTGTAACAAAATTAGTATTAACAAGTATTCTTATACAAAAAATATTTAATTCTTAAATAAAAAAGATCTCACGAATATTCATTTCATCAAATTTTCTTAAAATTTTAACTTCCTCAATCAAAAAGTTCTATTTAAACTTTTGTTTTGAAAGATGGAATTCGAAAATCTCAAAGATAATGTGGAAAAAAGTGAAAAAGAGTAGTAAATCATGAATAGAAAAATAGAGCAATCAGCCGTTTTCTTCTTACGAATTCTTTTGATTAAAAAAGAGATCACAATAAGGTATTAAGTATTCATTCTCCTTTTACTTCTCTTTTCAAAGTTATGAATTTCACTAAGTGTGTTTGCAAGCCTTTTCAAACATCCAGCATATATCTCTTACTTTATCTCCCTTCAATTTCATGACTGATCGTAATCGTTATAATCATATTCTTTTTATGGGTATTAGAATAATTAGAAAGTATATCAATAAAGGTAACCTGATAAATTTGAGTAGTAGTAGTTGGAGTAAACGGAAAAGAAGGAGTAGCATATGTGGGCGATGAGATTGCTGGTTGAAGCGAAAACAAGTTAGCATGACTATTGCATAATGTCTCACAAAGTTCTGCAAGGTGGTGAATTTAAATTTAGTTTTTAAATTTTAGTAATACAATGGAGCATTTGTGCTGGATTTGAGAGATTCTTCCGGAAATACCACAATATATTTACCGGGAAATTTCAGCATGAAGCAGCAATCAAAAAAGGTAGTATCATAGGATGGAAATAGTAGAATGCACTCAAATAATATCACGATTTGTTTCATTTCCCTGTAACTTCTCATCAAATATTGTAGTAATGAAGCACAACCAGCAGAAATACATCAAATGTATAAGCTTATCGTTGCTCATATTTGACTTACTTTTGACTCTTTAAATGTTAAACACTCTACAAAAGAAAATTACGCTCACAGAAAAAATAACCAGATTTAACAAACTTATCGATTATTCTAACGAATTGTAGTGATATTGATTAAATCATCCTTCTGAATTCGGCGCTCATTAGTGAGGACAGAAGACAGCACCTGAAATTGTTTAGGCATCTTCCCGATGTATTCTAAACTTTTTAAAGTGTGTCTTTTACCATTTCAGACATCACGCAACACTTTTGTCCTTTCCTTGTTCCGCCAAAATTCTTTGCCTTTATTTACTTAACAAATCATTCTGAATATTTCATCAGCAAAAATCCACTCATTTGTATTATAACAATAAGCGGATTCGGTTAAGTTATAGTTAGCTAAGTTAATTAGGTGATAGCATATACACATAGAGACGTACGTCTTTTTTATTTCACCAAAGTAAAAGAGAATAAGTGATGAAGAATAAAAAAACGTAAAAGAGAAAAAAGCGATTAATGATTAAGTGATGATAATAGTCGAGAAGAAGCTAAGGATCAAATTCGGGAAGATAAATGAGGACGGCAATGAGGAGGGTAGGAAAGGGTCAAATAAATTCATCACTGACCCTATCCCAAGTCATTAAAGAACTACTCGAAATATATTATTTTTCCGTCTTTCTGCAAAAGAATGTTTTCAAATTTTCATTTCTTTCACCAAAATTAGATGCAAAAAGATAATTTAATAACAAGGTGACAAGGTGGCTGGCATCTGCGGGATGAAATCATTCGTGCGACCAGTAAGAGAGGTATTGCGATGATTGATATGGATAAGAATTCACATCGCTTAAATGTGCTAAGTCTTGAAAGAGGTACCAAGGTTTCCATGTTATACTGCAAAATTAATTCCTTTATTTTGAGGTTTTTGATAAAAGCTGAAGAACTCAGTTTTAGAATTCAGATATGTTATTTCTCTTATTAATTGATATTTGCATCTTTCTTTAAAAAAATGTTTTCAAATTTTCATTTCTTCCATGAAAGTAGATACAACAGAATAATTTAATAACGAAATGACATCTATAAAACCACATCACCCTGTGCTTTTTTTCATTGTTTTACTTTCATGAACAATTTGTTACTATTAATTTTTGATAGTTTCCTCAGTAATTTCTTTTTCTTCAGTTTCTAAAATTAGGTATAACTCTCGGACTCGAGAGTAGACTGAAATATCGAGGCGAGCTTTCATATATTATTAAAAAACAATCGAAACACATGTAACAAAAAATAATTAGGTGTTAAAACTTGCATAATTTATGAAATTTCATCAGAGAACAATTCAAGAAATGAAAAACAAATGAAGATATTCATCTGAACTCAATTCTTTTGAAGACAATATTAGAGAAAGATTTTAAAATTGATTTGCCTTCTAAAAAATCTTATCTCAACAATTTGATCATTACTTCTCAGACTAGCTGAAGACTAGTTGATATTGTAATGAATATCATTCAAAAGTAAAAATCTTTCAATGGCCCAGTTATGGCCTAATTAGAATATTGGAAAAAGTTGCATCAGTTGAGAAATTTACGATTGAAGAGTGTCTTTTGTGATGAGTGAATATTCAATTAAATAATTTTCAACTAATTGAAGTCAACGAAAATGTAGAAAGACGGGAAGATATTCCCTTTTTACATAATTTACGCACCATATCCTCCTTGATGAGACAAAAAAATTGTCACATCAAGAAAAAAGTCGAAAAAAGTCAGAGCAAGTTGATATATTCTTTATTACTTACAATTGTCAATTGTCATTTGGGTAAATCTCAATTCAATCTACTTTAAACTCTGCAGCTGAAACTAGTTTTGTCATAAATAAAAACGAGGAAAGAACAGGAACTTCCGGTATTTCCCCACAAACTGATAATTATTTTTAAGACCATTTTAAATCCATTTAAATAAATGTTCGGAAAACGAAGTGTTAAATTTTGCTACTGGAAAAACGAAAGAAAATTGGATGACGTCTAAAAATTTTTCTTTCTGTTGTTGTTTTCTATTTCATGATTAATCAGTACTAAAAAAAAGAAACAAATAATTACCGGATTTTTAACCCAATGGAAAAAAAAATGATACCGCTGAGATTTCTAGCAAAATTAATTGTCTGACAAGTACTCATTTGTTCAGCTGTTTATTCTGAAAGAAATTGTATTTATCTAACCTTTCCCGAATACCTTTTTTTTTTACAGTATACACTTTTCTTTCATTCTTTTTCATTCTATCCAATGAAATTTGATAATTGCATTGTGCTAGAAGTAGTCATATATTTAATATTTAAATAGTCTTCTCAAAACATTTTGTTAATTTTAGTTCTTTAAAGTTGCGTTATTATTGATTGATCATTTGTTTCTCTTATCTCTGTGAAGATTATGATAGATTTCCTAAAATATGACGATGTAATATTTGTGACAAATATTGTTGTATGAAAGATGACCCAAAATAGGTCACTGTTGCTATTTCTGTAAAGCTCTCCACTCTATTTACTCAGGTAAATTAGAATCATGTTTGGTTTTGAAAAAATAAGTGATTAGATGGAATGGTACCACAAAAAAATGAGGTTGCATCAATGCAGACTTGCTAATCTGCATCAGAAGTAGATTGCAGCAGGACATGTAAAATTTCAGATATTATCAATAATTCAAAAGTACTAAAGTTAATTAAGCATGTCTTTTTTCAAACATTTTTTTTATTCACCGCAAATGATAGCAACAGACAGATCAAGTGATAAGCCCGGTCTTTTGAGCTGTTTAAAAGCATCAGTAAACAAAGATGTTAATACTTTTTGAAATGTTTAAGATGTCTTAGCTTTTTGACCGGGCTAATAACACCACTTAATAACTATACAAACATTGTACATATAAAGAGATCAAAATATTACACCCTGAAGATTAGTGTCAAATTTTTGCTATTCAGAATAAATTGGGTACCTAAATTGTGGGCCATATTTCTTAACAAATATTTGAATAATTCTTACTATCAGTAAAATATCCACGCTTTTCTCCTATCTGTATAACATTTTTCTAACATTTTCAAACAGATCTATTTCATTATAAATAACTTCATATGAGGACATCTAGCTGATAATTACTCCAATTGAATTACACTTCAACTCATTAATGAGTTTTCATTAAATTCCTCCAAAAAGACGTGTACATACCTTCTGAGGTTTGCAAATCACTTTGGCAATGAATTTGATTTTGAGTACTCATACAGGTCAAAGCACTACTACTATGAATAATACTACCACCATTACTATTGTTTCTGTCGTTATCACCGCTATCATTCCTATCATTATTACTAATTAATTTTCCACCAACAAAAGGCGACTTCAACAGCTGTTCATCAGTTTGGTCCATTCTTTCAACTACTGATTGTGACTCTGTCCCACAAATATGAGGATTAAAATAGAAGAATGCAAAGGAATATTCCATTTTCCCTTTTTCCACTGTCATATCAGCATAACCTTCTGCTGCATCTGTAACAAAAAAAAGCCTTTTTTTTTCACATTTTAGTGATAACAAATTCTTAATAAAAAGAACTAAATCATGATGAAAGTTAAGTGAACTTTGCTATTTTAAGTTAGTTACCCTAACAAAATTGATTGTTTAAAACAGTCAACTAAATCTGTAAATATATGAATAAACAAAATGCATAAAATCGTCACTGCTAAGAAGAGATGCTTCCTCTGATATTTAAAAAATTTTATATCTCAGCTAGAATGCTAGTTGAAATCAACCTCAAAAAAACCTACCAACAGTGAAATCGGTTTTTGCACAATATTTGGCAATATTTTTCAGTGTCATTTCCATACCATTCAGCAACATATTTCTGAGATGATAGTCTTCAGGTTGTATTGTTGCTGAACAAAATGAAATCTGCAAATGAAAGAATGATTAGATTGAAATTTGATTCATTATCCATTTCATGATAAACACTGACACAGCTAATAATGATGCTTATCATATCTATTGTTCTTCTATAAGCTTCCAGAAATAATAAACATAAAAATGAAAACACCATCACATTGTCAATAAAGTTTTCTATAGCAATACGACAGAGTATTGTAAACAATGCTTGTGAAATAAACAGAAAACCTGAGTGAAAGTTTCGAAATGAGAATCGGCCAGGTGATGAATGGAATAGAAAAGATCTTGAGTTGGACATGGAAAGCACAACTGTCGCAGACTCTCACGCATGATATCAACATGCAATGAAACAGTCTTAAGTTGAGTTATCATTTGTTGAGGTGTTTTCGAGAACAGATATCCTAGATAACCATTTGCCTGATACAGTGATGTGTCTGCAACCATCTTTTCTTATTCATCATAATCAGTTGTAGCAACTACAGTTATATAAATTACATATAGTGTCGCCAAATTTAATTATTAGTGATAACGGTATCTGATAATTAAGGATATACTCTTAAAAATGATACTATTATTGTTAACATTTAGTTATCAATACGATCTACAATGACAAACTATTTGGAAACAATACAGAAATTGCAGATCAGACCTTTCAGTGATTGTGGTGGCACATCAGGATTACACCTTTGTAATGATCCGATATCTTTCATAATCATCATCACTTCCACAATTTTATTACATACTGAAAATCTGATAAGCTGATAATTTCTAAGGAAAAGAGGGAATCTATGCTTTTATATTTCATATCCAAAAGTTTTCGTGAAATTCTTCTTTGCTATAAGTCCACTTGTATCAAAAATTAAATATTTTCCTTCAGTGCTTGTTAAATACTTAATTTAAATGAAGTAAAAAAAGAAAAACTAACTTATAAAAACTGTATGCAAATTGTCTTCCAAAAAACTTCGTTTAGGTGCACGGCCCTTAGTACTAATAATATAACAATCGAGAGGGTCATC